ACCAACACAATAAAAGCTGCAAAAAAATTAGTTTATTATGGTCTGTGATAAAATTTTTTACAAAATATTATTTAAAACTTATAAGAAACATTTATATCCATTAGATGTTTTACAAATGTACAACATTATGTATTAAGTGATTTTTTTAATGAATGATAATTATCAGATTGATTATAAACAGTCTGACAATTTATTAAACACTCATAAAATAAAACCCATTAGAATTTCTTCTCGGTTTCGACATTGAAATGTACAAGTTACGAAATATTGTGTTTTACATTTTTAATGATTCTAGTTAAACACGGATCTTCAAAAAGTTTATATACACATTGCCCATTAGTCGTTGGTGAATTTTTGTTGATCGGACATTCGCGTAGAACAAAATACTATTTTTACATGTCTACCAAATACTTCTTTTGGGACCGATTTATACTAAGAACACTGTATATTGATACATAAGTTCAAAACTGTTTTAATGACAATCACTTTTACCTTCGTTGGGTGCTAACTTACGTGCCTCTCAATAAACAAAACTTATGTAGTCAATTTCACAATTTCCTTTAATTATAATTAATAAATCATCTGTAACTTCTTTATATTCTGACTGATTAACTATATTTATAGTAATATTAGTATGTATCGATTCTCATAATAATATTTTTTTATTAAATAAATATATGGTTTAACCTAATGAAACGTCACTATAGGCAACTACCTTAGAAAACGAGTTCTAGTATTTGTTTTGAGGCTTTTCAGACAACTACTACGACTAGACTCATCTCGATCTAATCATCTAGCTTCCTCATAAGATAATTATTATACTCATCAATAAGGAAAAACTATTACATTTTGTAACAACTACTATTATTTGCGACTCAGTCGGTAAAGATTTGTATTGCAAACAGAGAAAAACATGGTTTTTTCTATTATTAGCAGAACAAAACAAAACTCGAGTAGTTTTTCAGATACCCAGATACTTTCCTCGCAATCATAAGAATCAATTTATGCTGAACATAGCTATCACAGTGCTTATGCAAAAATCTTTACTGATGTTTACGACAATTTCTATTTTCATGTTGTCATAGCGATCACCTTTCTGTTGGACATTATCTTCACAATGGTACTATTAGTCATAGTAGTATATCTACAACTGTATATTAACAAAAACTTCCATAGATTATTATCGGCATAAAACATAATCATCTTGAAGTAATAAAAGTTTTATTTGATCATTTGCTGTATAGCGATTTTCTTGAGACTCTTCTTGTTGCTATCTATGTTGATTTAACTAAAATTAATCATTTTATTATGAAATATAACACATTCAAATGCTTTGATGAAGCAGTAGCCGATTGATAAGCAGATACAATTGATGCATTCGATGAATCTCATTTTGCTGTTATACGACCAATTCAATTAGCAGCAAACTGTAATCGAACAATAATTTTATACAATTTTCTAATACAAGATGAGTATTTTTTATTCTTCAGGACGAAGGATCCCAAAATTTGATCCTTTCAGATCCAACAGCTCGAAAATGTCGGATATGCCTAAGATTTGATGAAATCATGTTGAATTTACGTCTGGATAATAGACATTATTCGAAGCGTCTTCCTTTCTCACGTACTATTGATTGAAAATTAGCAGCCTAAATTGTACTTTACTTTAATTTATAATTACATCCAATTATTGAATTGAAATTCTAAAATAAAACCAAAGGTAGAACAAACCAATTAAACTTACTGTCGATTGACTTGATGCGATAATTTAATGAAGAATAAATAATTTATTACAAAATGTTTGTTGAACCATATATCTTCGTTTTTCTTCGTAACCAGTCATTTAAAAGCGTGAATATTAGTCTTCGATTAGTGGAAAACATCTTCATGTTGTGATAAAAAGTATTACAAATATATTTCAAATGTTGTCTAATAATCTCAAAAAACACAGCAACAGATACTTAATTAATTACCATCGAATTTTGTCGGATGTCGATTGTCGGAAACTGTTGGATAGTTCATTCATGTGTAATGACAAACTGAAGTATTAGCTTACGACTGTCAGTGTTAATGATGCTTATTGAGCTACTTCATATCTTTAGAATATATGGCTATCTCACATTCAACACAAGTTTATCTAGAAGAGCAATGAACACAGAAAAGAACATTAGAGAGAATGAGAAGGAAAGGAAAAGAAAGATGAAATGAGAATATTAGTGACAGAGCGATATCAATATCAGGGTACAAGGGATCTTATCGGATCCGATTGAGTGACTTCTATCTGAACCCATTCGTAATATTCAAGTCTAGTGAATTTTTTATTCTTTGTTTTGCGTGAATGCGTCGAAATTCCACATAACATTGAATGTAAATGCAAATCAATTGATTTGAGTGATAGTTTATCCTATTCTCAACTTCACCTTTCTAGTAATCGTAATCTTGCATCAGATGTTTATCTTGCATTAGTATCAGAAGACCAGATTACTAGTGCATTTGATCTAAGTCATGATTTATCGAACTTTATAGAAAATAAACCGAATGATTGGCGTAAATTTTCATCAATATTTAACTAAGTTTTACATTTTACTACATGTTTTTGTAATCATTTCTGAAAACTAGGAGAGCTCCAATTATTATTGACTATTGGAATGGTTGAATATAGTTATCGAATATAATGAAGCAGAATTTATTTCCATACATGTACTCAACAACATTTAAACGATATTTGGTATAAAAACATACAGTTATAATAAGATGAGAAACATTAAAAAAAAACGACTTTTAGCATCGATTTATTATTTTCTAATCTATATTCTGATATACTTTGACTGTTTTTGGTTACCATTTTATTTTGAATGTCAACATTGACGGTATTTTCAACAACTATCTATTCTAGCATTAGTATACATGTCATTACATATAAAATATTTTTATTAATATTAATATTTCCAGATGTTATGAACTCTTCTGAAATATCATGAAGAATGGAATATCCACAAATGTTTCATTATTGTAATTCTTTATTATTAATGGATGAAGAATCTACATATGATCAAAGAACTATAATGTTACACTTGAAAATATTCGTTCTTATTTCAATGAATAGAGTCAAATGATTATTGATGAAAAATATTTAACCTGACTCTTGTATGCCGTATGATTTATCTCTGTTTCTACTTTCTTATCAGTGAATATTTTGGTTCTCTATTTAGTGCATTAATCATTATGAGTAAAACTATCTATCGATGACTTCTATTTATATTAATATTCATTTTTACTTATGAAACATTCTTTATGCATTTATTTTCTTATTATTTCAATGACTAATCATATAGTACTATTAATCATGATTATTTTAATACAACAATCAATGTCATAAAAACAACAAAAATCTATCGTAGTTTTAGTGATCTAAAAATTGTAACAATAAATATATTTGTTTTCTCTATTTGATGTTATAAAAAAAATGAATGAACATAAATATATATATAAGTAATCATGAAAATGATATGATTAATTTAACAAAAATTATACTCATTATTATTTAAATTTATTAACATCAATAATTGATTCATTTATTTATGGATCTTTCGCATTTTGTGCAAGAATTTTACGAATAAGAATAATTATCACTTATATAAAATATCTTGTGTAAAACTCTATATGACATTATTCATTTATAAAAATCCTACTGTTCTACCAGTACCATTAAATTTAATCTCAATATTACGACATATAATGCAATCTTTTCAAGAAAATTTTTTTTAAGATATTTAAATTATTTCTCATATTAATACTATTTCATATACACTCAGTAAAACATACAATATATACAAGAATGTTTTTTGAAATTCGATATTATGTGCTTGACTGAATTCAATCTATTCAGCAAGCTAACAGAATATTGAATAAACATATTTCAATAGTCTTTTTTTATTTTGAATTAGATCAAAATCAATAGATAATAAAAAAGATGAACGTATTATCATATAATATTTTCTTTTCTGTTTATCTTTGCCTGTTTTTTTATTCTATTTTAAGTAATTCAACTACCTTTGATATCGTTGTCTTATCTCCTATTGTAAAAAGAAAATGCGTGTTCAAATAGCATGAGTTAATACTATGACGTTTTAGAATAACACAGAGAATACACAAGAGAGTATCAACATCCGAAGAAAACCAATAAAGTTCTAATAGTAGTTGTTCAATGGAAGAAAAGCTTTTAGTAGTTCTTATATCTTTGTTTTTATTTTCGTCATTAGTAAAGAAAGATCTCACTACACGATATACTCATGTTAATTTCAAAATGTAAGTTTTCATTTATTGAATTGGAAAATCTTTGAAAATATTGTGTTTTTTTTCTTGTTTGAATACAAACTATCCATCCACTTGATTCTTCCAGAAAAAAAAATAATCGGTTCAGTAAGACATCTAGAGAGAAACACAGTGTAGATTAGACTTCTCCGAGTCATTATTTAGTAGAATGGGCCTTTTCTTTTACTCTCTATATAAAATAAGGAGAAAACATGAATTTCGAAAGTAACATTGATTAAAAACTTTCATTTTCTTCTCAACAATACTGACGATATCTATAAAAAAAGAAGTTATTTAAAAAACAATAAGATAAAAATAATAATCTTTGGTTCTCTGACTGCTGAATATTATAGTTGAAAAACTAGTCTTGAAAGTATATAGAATTTTGATTTATAACATCTTAATTTTGACAGAAATATTTTTGAATATTTTCTTTCTCTCATTAGTTTTTGTACTTATGAACACTATTCTTTATAATACTCAATAAATCGATGTATGAGATAAAAATAGAAAAGTAATGTGCGTGATCAAAGAAAAAATTTTCTATCTATTTTAATAGCTAATACTCATTCTTTAAATCTATTGCTCTTGGGTTAGAATAATATTTTTTTACGTAAACATCTTTCAAAAAGACGAGATAATGTCTCTTTTTATACTTTTTTTTATTTTTTAAAAGAAAAACTTAACATGCTACACAATCATCATCTAAAAATTGGACGTGGTACATCTGAACATTCGGCGACTATTTACACATATCATAATAAAACATTTGATGATATGAATGATTTATTTCTGTTTGCTTGTTCACATGGTGATTATATGCTTGTATATAATCTTTTAAGAACAGGTGAAGCCAAATCAGATGTATTAAATAAAATGGGTAAAAGTGCACTTCAATTAGCTATTGAAAATGAACATTTTGAAGTTGTTAAAGTTTTATTGAATACGACACCTTATGAGAAATTTCGTGATGCACTTCTTTTGGCTATTTATTTGGGTAATACAAATATAGCTGATCTTATATTAAATCATCAAACATATCGAACATTTTCCGGTGGATTTCTTGATCCAACAGATCCACAAGCTTATGACGATTCACAATTTAGTTCTGATATAAGTATGTTTTCTTTTTCGATTTCTATCATTCGAATGTATATAACGATTTTGCCATTGAAGAGAAGAATTCGGAGGACATCTGTTATATAACAGAGAGGGAGGATAACGGCTTCAAAATAGTATAAAAACATCGAGAAAAAAAAATTCGTTACCCAAAGAAATCTCAAAGAGGCTATTCTTGAGACATGATTTTATAATTTTTTGCTTGATATTTAGTAGACTTCGGTGAGAAAAATACTATTTGAATAAAAAGTAATATGATATTATGAATCAGTATCTAAAACTGAGTAGACTTCTGTGTATTTCAAAAATTTTCGCAATCGTTTTTCTTCGTCGAAAAACTTACCTATGGTACCCTTCAAGGTTGAGTCGAAAAATGAATTTTATTGAAAAATTCATTTTTTGACTCAACCTTGAGGGGGACCACAGGTAAATTTTTCAACAAAAAAGAAAGGTTGCCAAGATTTTTGAAACACACATATCCATTCAGTTTAGGATACGGATTCAAAACATCATATTAATTTTTATCTGAATTGTACTTTTCTAATCAAAATCTATTAAATATTAGACAAAAAAAATCATAAAATCATGTCTCTAGAATAGTCTCCTTGGGATTTCTTTGTGTGGCCAGTGTTTTTTCTCTTGATGTTTTTATATCATTTTGAAGCGCTCAAAAAGTATTATCGAACCATATGAAAATAGATTAATTGCTCATGAAATGAATGGACAAAAAGTGTTGATTATCATCAACAGTCGGATTCAATGTAGATGTTGCAGTCATTGACTATTTCAATAGACCTGTGCATAGTACAAATAAGTGCTACATGACTAATTCAACCAGGACTCACTTTTGGATCTCTTGTGTGATCGTTTGACATAGAAGAAATCAAATTTTTCGAGAGGATTATTTTCAACAGTTATTAAATCCTTTCCTTTCGTTTGCAAATTATTGAGGATTTTTATTCTTTTTTTTTATTATTTTCTTTCTTAGCTCCACTTATTCTTGCTGCTCAATATAATCGTTTACCAATTGTTCATCAGTTATTATCCAAAGGTGAACGTATAAAAAAACCTCATGCAAGTATGTGTTCATGTGTTGATTGTGTTGAAATTTCAGCATCGGATTCATTTCGTCAAGCTCAAATTCGTTTATCTGCATATAAAGGTCTTTCATCTGAAGTTTATATAGCATTAGCATATCCAGATCCAATTTTACAAGCATTTGAATTAAGTTATGAATTACGAACACTTGCAAAAGTTGAACATTATTTTTGCAAAGAATATAAAAAATTAGCTAATCAATTATCAATTTTTGTTGCACGATTACTTGATAATGTACGAGGATATGAAGAACTTGAAATTGTTTTAAATAAAACTGGTTTACCACATGAAGAAAAATATGAAAATTTAGCTCGATTTGGTTTAGCTATACAATATAGAGAAAAACCATTTGTATCACATTCAAATTGTCAACAGAAATTAATTGAAAAATGGTATGAAAATATATCTATTATTAAAAACATTCATATTATTAAACGAATAATTTTTTATCTTGGCTATATTATTTGTTTTCCATTCATTGCATTAACATATCAAATATCACCTAAATCAAAAATTGGTTTATTGGTATGTATAATAAATAGTTCTAAGTATAATTCATAATTTCTTCATTGAAATTATGTAGAAGAAAAATTTTTCGCATATATTGAATAAATATAAACAGGCAAAATTAGAGTATTGAACAATGAATATAAAAAATATAAGATTAAATTGGAAAAAGAAAATATCATCTTGATTTTTATCTAGCAAATTTATCTTAAAATTTATTAATTATAGAAAAATGATTAGACTTATCAAAACCTATAGTTGAAGGCGCTATAGTTTAAGTCTATTCCAGTAAAACAAGACTTGTTAATTGGAATTAAGTTTTATGAATTATAATATCAATAAACAGTAACACATATTATATCTTTTCAATTGATCATTGTCATTCAGTTGAATACTGACGAGCGAACGTCTCCAAGTGTCCGATCAATGTTTTGATCAAGACTATACTCACATGATAGGGTATGGGTGAGTAGTGTCAAAACTTAGGATAGTTCGGTTGTCTGAACTTTTGTTCTTGAGATATCAATTCTTTTCTGAATTTTTTAACTGAAACTTACGCCCCTCCTGAATTCACTATGAAAATCGAGTTTCGACTTGAAATTTTTCATACATAAAACTCTCAACAATGCTAATGGACTGTGAAAGTGTTACTAATTTTAGTACTTTGCATCCATAGATATCAGTACACAAAAAATGATTGCCTTTTTTTTATTAGAAGATTTCATCATTCATATCTCAAAGTAGAACATACAAAAATTAGCGAAACTCCTGCAATGAACTAATATTATTAAGAGGTTTATTTGCACAAAGTTTCAAGTCGAAATTTGATTTTCATGATGATCTAAGGGAACCTCAGGTTTCGGTTAATAAATCCAATAAAAATTCAATATGTCAAGAACAAGGGCTCAGACAACCGAACAAGAAATGTCTATCACAGCTGGAAATCCGTCGTTGCAGTGATGATTTTCAAGAATTTCTTCCGTCACTGTACTAAATTAGCATAGTTAGATGGAATTCATCAGATTCACCACAATTGTGACTGTGGGACTTGTAGACACTCAAATTGGAGTGGAAATTCATGCGATTTTACAATCTCCTTAAAAAATAAGTTGCCACTGCCACAATAATATTTTTGAAACATCTTCCACACCGTGATGGTTTTAAACAAAAGTACCGCTAATGTGCCTTTGATGTCGTTACGCTAACGACATAGTCATGGACATCTCTGAGGCGAACCATTTTAGACTTTGATACTATTCATCATAGCCCATCATCTGCATACAGTCTCGATCAAAAAGTGATTGGACATTTGGGAACGTTTCCTCGTCAGCTATTTCTTCATATGTTTTCATCATTTGTTTAAAATAAATTTTTTATTCTCCTTTTATTTAAGTGTCAACAACCAAATCTGAAATTCAAAGCTTATATTGCATCATATTTTATTTTTATTAGTTTAATTATAGCATCGAGTTATTTTTCAGCTATCCATTTAGACAAAACGAAATTTCTATCTAATTATAATTCAACTATTTATATAAATTATATTCAATTAATTTATCGAAATACTCAATTAAGATATGATATAATTGGTCAAAATGAAAATAATAATAATAATTGTAATAATACAATAGATTCAATTCTCAATTGTGACATTAGTCTTCGTTTTATGGAACCAAATCTATTTCAAACAGCTCTTTTGATATGGGTTATTGGTTTGGCTAAGAATGAATTTAAACAAATATTTAGTTTAGGTGTTCGTATCTATTTAAAAGTACCTAGTAAGTGAAATAGAATAGTTTTATAAAAAGAAACAAAAGAAATTCTTTTTTTTTTGTCTTTGTTCTAAGGTAATTATGTTGATTGTTCAATGAATATTCTTTTTATATTTTATTTTATTTTTCTTTTTTTATCAATGATTTATACTCGTTTAGCAATGAATACATTACATTCATCAGATTATTGGATTAATATAGCTCGATATGAAAAAATGTCCAATATTGAAAAACAATATTATATATCTAAAACTCATCATATTCTTTATTGGCTTAATGCTGATCGATTTTATTGGAAAAGTGAAGATTTACAAAATTTAGCTGAAGCTTTTTTTGCTATGGGAAATGTTGTTAGTATTTGTCGAATTTGTTTTCTATTACCAATCAGTGCATTTGTTGGACCACTACAAGTAAAAAAAATTAAAAAAATAAAAAGTTTTCAAACATTATATTATAAAGAAGCATGAACTAAATCCTACGTTTAGAAGCAAAAAATGTTTTGTTTTTGTTTTTGATAGTAATCAATGCTAAACATTTGAGTCAAAGATGATTGATCATAAGAAAACGATTATGTTTACTGAAAAATTCTTAAACTGTTATCAAAGCCACAATATAAGATAGATCAATGTTTTTTCAATGACTATTGATTGGAGCAAGATAGGAACCTGTGGATTCCACTATTCAAAGACGTCAAGATCCATAAAATCAGCTCAAATTTGATCGATTAGGTGAGTTTTTACGAGAGATTTTGACAGTGATTTTTCAGAAAACTCTCCACTTGAAGTTCGACTAATACTGTGATCATTCGATAGAAAAAATTATTCTCTTTTGATCCACTCTACACCGAGGTCTCTAATTTGTTCTGTTCAAGAGCTATAAGAATTTCCCAGAGATCTTGATCTCAGCCTAATGATTTTTGAGAATTTCCAAAGAGATTAAGACAAGGATAATTCATCTAGAGTCAGCGTAAAGAACCACACATGTCTTGATCTCTTCCAGAGTTCTCAAAAGTCAGCAGCCTATAACCAGGATCTCTGAAAAACTCTTATAATTCTTGAACAGAACAAATTAGAGATGTCGGTTTAGAGCGGATCGAAAGAGAACAATTTTTTCTATTGAATAATCATAGCGTTAAGCGAAATCCATCTTGCAAGCATTCTAGAAAAACTTTTTCAAAATCTTCGGCAAAAATTTACCTAATCGATCAATCAAATATGAGTTGATTCTATAGCTTCTCATGCCCGCTTTGGAACAGTGAGATCAGCAGCTCTCTATATTCTTTCTATCGAAAGTTATTGCAGAAACATTGATCTGTTTCATATTTGAGTTCCTTGATTAAACATTAGAATTAGAAAACTTATCAACAAAGCCGATAAAATCTGTGATTAACTTTAAACACAATAGACAATATTAGTCATGTCTAATCGACAATGATTACTATCGAAAAATAAAACAATATTAACTTTACTCGAAGTTTAGTATATGCTTCATTGTAAAACTTCAATAAAATGAAATAAATCGAAAGAGTATTTTGTTTTTCTTTAATTCAAAATTCTAGGTAATGCTTGATCGTATGATAATTGATATTGTAAAATGGATTAGTATAATTATAATATTTTTTATAGCATTTAATTGTTCACTATATTTTATATTTTCTTTTTTTTCTATTGTTTTGAAACAACAAAATACTTTAATAAAATCTTCATCTAGCAGCAACTCATCAATATCAATAATAGATCAAAATTCAACAATAGCAAATTACGTACAATGTCCAGATTATTTTTATGAACTTTTAAATCAAACTATTCCATTGTTAAACAATATAGAAGACAATAATAATAATAATAATAACATAGACACAAATAATTTTTGTCAACAATCTTCCAACTATGATACACTTACACAGATTGGACCTTATCCAGCTATTTATTATTTTGGTGAATCATTTAATTCAACCATATTAACAACATTTTTTACATTATTTGGTGTTATTGGAGAAAATGGTATACCAGTATGTATTCTAAATTAATAGTCTAATTAAAATTTTTGAAATAATTTTATGCTCATATTTTTTTATTTATTAGGATCGTGGATATGAAATGATTACACTTTCATGTTATAAACCTGATTCGAATACTTATATATCTGGTTTTGATAATTTTTTATCAAATCTTGGTTTTATTATCTATGGACTTTTTACATTTGTATGTGTTACTGTTCTTATTAATACATTAATTGCTATGTTGGAAGAAACAATTAAACACATTGATGATCGTGCTGATATTGAATGGAAATTTGCTCGTTCAAAACTTTATATGGAATATATACAAGACGGTAAAAAATAGATTTTCATAGAATAAAGTTTCGAATTATTCTCAGATATTTTCTTGAATTATAACATTGAAATGTTGAATATTGGAATGAAATCATATTGAACTCACGAGGAGATCTTGATGAAACTAGAAAAAAATTCTAAAAAGATTTGTACCCATGGACTTCTGGAGTCGACTTATGATCATTTTACTGAATTTTTGACCCATTTTTGAACATTTACTAAAAAATCAAATAATGGAATTTCGATCGGAAACTCAACCTGTACATAGGCCTCATGACCTTCACAACATCCTGGAAATTTCAATTGAAAAGAATGTTCAATTATTGAGATACTAAATTTCTAACAAATAGTCGCTTGCCACAAACACCCTATAAAAATAGAATTTAGTTAGAAATTCAATATTCCGGCAAAGGAACACTCTTTCTGGCTGGAACTTTCAAGATATTCTAAGGATTATTAGACCTATGTATGGGCAAAATTGCAGGTCGAAAATTCAGCCAAACAGTCATAACTCGGCTTCAGAAATTTATGGATGCAAACTCTTTTAAGTTTCTTCTAGGCTCATTGAGACTTCCTTGTGAGCTCAATATAAGCTCAAACGGCGAATCATAGTTCGAGTAATTCTCTCATTAGATCATTTTATCATAAAAATCTAGTGAAAAGAAGTGATCAATAATCGAATAACTTATTGATCAACTATCTCGAAATTTTAAAGACCTATTTTTGCACCCTAAAATATGACAGAGCTTGCATATTAACACCACATGTTCACAATCGTTGAAATAAGTTAGAAAGAAACTGCTATATGGCGATTGACTAAAAAAGTAATTTGACAAAATGTTCGTCCATTTTTCAAACTCTTAAAGGAATCTGCAGAAATTTGAAAACATTGAATTAGTATTACAATTGTGTATTCTTTCCAAGTGTAGGTTCAACATTTTTCTAGAACTTCTGATTTAGAAGTTATGGGCAGACCTTTTCAAGGCCCGTAAATTGAATTTAAACGAGTTTCAGCTCGTTAAAACTTACTCAAACTAGAAACGAAAATTATTTCAAATACACCGAATGAAAGAACAAATATTGTTCTAGAAAAATTTTGAGTCTATTTTCAGAATTTAAACTCAATGTTTTTTTTTAGATTTCTGCAGTCTCCTTTAAGAGATTGAAAAATGATTGTGTATTTCATCAAATTACTTTTTCATCGTCCATTATTTAAGACGATTATGATAAATCTAATTAATATCTATATCTTCATAAAACTTTTTGTCGTAATATTCATTCAGACTATTCAAGATTTCAATTTATGATTAACTTGAATTTTTTCTCTGGATCAAAACTTTTCACTTAATAACATAGAAAATAAAAGAGTTTGTTTTTGTAATTGTACTTTTAGAAAATATTTTACCTATTCCATTGAATATTTTTCCATCTCCAAGAGCCATTATTAATCTTCTAAATCGAATAAAACAAATGATTACTTCGAAGAATGTTTCAAGAAATGATAATAATAATAATAATATTAGAAATAATGATATAGAATTAAATGATTTTAGAAATGAAAAAATCTTTAAACGTAAACGTAGTTATATATCAAATGAAAATTTAACATATAAAATAGTTATTGAACGTATTGTTAAACGTTTTTTACTTTATTATAAAAATAATCATGTTGATGTCGAACAATTTAAAGAGGGTTTTGAATATAGAGAAATTAAAAATGATATATCATCATTTACTTTTGAATTATTTTATAAAATAGATACATTAGATGATACCTATACTGGACTTGTACAATCAATGAATAAATTCAATAAGAATTTAAAAGAATATTTTGATTTTGAACAAATTAAACATCAATTACATAGACAAAAAAATTCATAGAATTTTTTGTTTTTTTTTCGAACTTTTTTTGTAATGAAAACTTTTTTTTTCGTTGTATTGCTTTTCATTATTTAAATATACGCAATAAATCTATGTAACCAAGTGTTTCACTAGAATATAATCAAGTCTTTTTGTTAACTTCAATAAATAAGAATTGTAGATAAGAATGGTATAATTCTAGTTATGTGTACTTCTATTGTGTTTGTTCATTTATATTTAAAATAGGATAAAAAATCATATATTGAGTCATGATGAACAATCTTCTTTTTTCAATGTTTATTTTGACTAATAAATTAATGAATTGATGCATTACGTTTTCATTATATTTTAGTTTATAAAATATTTTCCGAAATCAAAAACAAAAGAAGTTGTAAACTTTCAAATAATGAATTGTTTTTAGTAATTACATGTTCGTTAATTGTCATGCTATTTTTGAACTCAATTGAAAATCTAATATTTGGTTGATACCAAAAATTTATTAACACGTATTTTATTATTATTCTTCATTGATTACTAAATTTGTGATTGCAGGTACTCATATTACATGTTTGTTTGTATTGATAACAGTATACCGACAGTCAGTAGATAGACGACAATTTAAGCATTAAACTACTATCGATTATTTGCCGGTATAGCACATATTATGCTGTACGATCTACCGACAGTTTTTGTCCAGTTTGAATCATAGAGATATATTATTGTAAACTTAAAAGAATAGTAGAAAACATTTCAATAGTGTCAAAGATGAGAAGTTTTATTTTAATAAGACTTTATTTAATAGTGGTTAAATTTGTAGGAGTATCTTACCCTAGTCTTTTATTTCAATATGTACTATGACACATTTTTTTCCAGAATTCATTGTACAATATAGTGTCAGACATGCTCGTTTAGAATATGATAAAACAAAATTAATAATTTCATATAGTCATCAGAACAAACAACTTTCAAGGCAAATCGTCTAAAATTTTTGAATGTTCTATCACGAGATTTAATGCAATGTTTAATACGATTTGACATGCAATCAACTAGTTTCTAACCATGCATAAATATTACATCACGCTAAATATTTTCCATCGTTTTCTATAGTTTGTACGCCATTTTTGTACCTCGTTTTCCCTTATTTTATATCAATATTATTCCACAAGTTGTCGATTTGATTACTCTTGAACTAATATCTTAATAATAAAATTTCGATCAGAGCTGTTTTTCTGTAAAATATGACAGTTGTACTAATGCTATTTGACAAGAGAAGGCTGCATGAATATTTCTTGAATAGCTCTTCATAGGAACAAGATAGAGAGCTGTGGTTCTATTGATTAACTCATTTACATACAACAACAATTACATTTTTATAATTAAATAATGCTTGTATTCCTAATTACAATGAACAATAAATACAAGACTGATTGCCAATAGTAAAAAACACAATAAGAACTGACAACCAATACTAAATAAAATTCAATAAACAGTCTTCGATCTATATTTGATAGTCAACAGTTCTCTCGTTTCTTTAGCCATTATAGAATTGTACAGTTTTTGAACTCGACCAATCATATATTTATGCAGATAAACTATCTAATCTTCTTCTAATAGATCGATATGAATTGATTAAACAATATCACTATAGAAATATTTTGAATGAGAAAAAATTTGATTTGTTTTTCTATAGATGTTTATTAGATATCTAATAGTGTTTTATACATTAAAACTATAAATGCACTACTTAAACAACAATTATCTAAGCTAATTTTCTTTGTTTTTTATCGTATTCGACAATATTTTCATCATGAGTAACATTTCCTTTGACTACATCTGTTTTTTTTCCACTAATTAATGATGTATGACCACTTTTATTTCGTCCCCAATTGATAATTAAGGATTCTCGAATACAAAATAACATAATGGATATTTGTGCAATAGAAAAGAAACACCAAATTGATGCTTGTTCCATTAAATTTGGTGTAATAAGACCAGCTAAATAAGGTCCAAAAACAAATAAAAATATTCCTTGAATGACCATGCCTTTCTTTTCATATAATGCAAAAAATGGTGCGAACATTAAAAATGAATGAATAGCTGCACCTGGTATGATATATGTTGGATCAGCCATTGGTATTGACCAAGCAAGATGATGATTTCCTAAACAAAAATCATATAGAATATTTCAATTAAAAAAACAAAAAGTAAAATAAAATATATCTTTTCATACCTCGAAATGTACATAATTTTGAACCACGTAACCATTCTGTTGATGAACCATTCAATGTTTGCGGCCATTTATAAGCCAATAAAAATCGTCCGAATAACATAAAGCCACCTAAAATATATTAGAAAGAAAAAAAGAAGAATTAATAATATCTCAAAAAAAATTTACCAATTAAACATAAACGTTTAATAACAAGATAACGATCAATATATTTCTGATTTTTTGTCAATGATGCATTAATAACATGACAAAAATAAGGTTGTAAACATATATGTAAAAATCCAGCAATTGTTAAGACTTGATTAATAACTGTATTACAGATAGGTGATTCAATATTAGGTGCAATAAATAAATACTGAATTGCTTGTAATAATTCCATTGTAAAAAAGAAGAAAACACCACTTGCTAATTGAGTATTGGATGTTTTTGACCATATCCACCAAGATGCAAAAAGACCAAGAGCTGCAAATGCAGCAGACATTTCCATTGAAAAACACATTGTTCTAGGGATATTCTTTTCTTTTTTATGGTTAAAAAAAAAAGAGTTTTGTTTTCAGTATTTATATATCTGATGAACCTGCTATCCTATCGAGTCAATGGAATGTCAGTGACGCGCGATAGTTCGAGTAGTTCAAAGAACAAAACAAAGCGCTATTTATATTTTTTCAAGGGCAAATATTGTGCGCACCAATGAAAAAAGTTTTCTTAATAGGTTAACGAAAATAAAACAGATTTTTTTTCTTTGTTCTCCTAACTATATTTTCTTAACAAACTACGTCAAGGATCAAGGTTTATATTAAAGAAAAGAAAGAACGTCATGAGATGGCGTTAGACAATGCTCAACTTAATCTTTCTCGAAGAATCTGGTTTCGACATGATGATATGTTCCAAAAAACTGATCTACATCTCTAGACTAGAAACTGTGTGAGACTATATTAAAAAATTAAAATCAAAATATACAACTACTTGCTAAGAAATTTTAAAAAAATGAAAATATGGATGCAATCAATTTTGTCATGATTTTTCTCTGTTTTGAAAAGCGAACGGTAAATAACAGTTGTTATCAAATGTTTTCTTACGTTTTCATGGTACAATCATGACAATAATAATGCTTGTTATTTTTTTTGTGAATGATTTATTTCTTATAACAACCATTCATTTGAAAAAAGCTAAACCTATAAAATGGGTGACAGTATAATATCGTTTCAAATACTTATCAAACTTTTCCAATTAATTTTTCTATAGATCTTAATGTTTGATTAGATTTATTGAGTCAACAACAACAATAGCATTATTATGGGTAGCTAATTTTCTTATGTACAGTAATCATTTATAGATGGTTTATATGTACATATCATAGACTAAACTATTGTATCGTTGATTTAATATACGCTTCGTGAAGCACGAGTGTGCGTTGAAGATGCAGAAAATATACTTTTTAAACATCGAAAGAATATTTATAGAATTTAATGACTGAAATTTCGATATCTTGTATAAGATATATATCTTTTGAGAAGATCATGCTCTCGTTATCTTACCGATCAATAAAATCCTAATCATACTAAGATTATTCAACCGTATATAAGTGAAGGATTATATGCTTATGAGTATTTTTTACATTTCAGATGATATATTAAAGTACATCGAACGATTACAATCAGAACTTTTTGTAAATCACCTGAGCCAAAAAATATACAGTATGGAAAGATTCTCATACTTCGTATTCAATTAAGTTCCTTCAGTGCAGGATATGATAGAGTTCCTTTTCTTTTTTTGAATTAAACATTGTTACTATTATATAAAAGAATACTTTTATAATTAGAGCGTCATTTTTTGAGAGTTTTTTTGGGACATCGATCTTTTTTCTCTTAAAAATATCCTGACATGCTTTTTCAAACAAAAAAAAAATTAAATATATCGAATGAAGGCCTACGGAGTCTTTTGAATTGTTAAATGAGCTCATTTTTTTACCTTGATTGGTAGAATATCTCCCGAACTCGTCATGGTATAGGAATGAAAATTTTATCATAACTTCTTCACTCTAGTCCCTACGTATTCTGAAAATTTCATACAATTTGAATGTATCTAGCCCTAAGACAGATTTTTAAGAAAGAAAGGGCTTAAATCCTAGAACATATGAATCTTATGAATATCAACATGCTTTCTATTAGCATATCAACCATATGGTTCCACAAAACTATACAGACATGTTGCTTTATATTATTTTCACAAGAGTATAAGTTAAAAGCTTTCGAACATAAAAAAAAGAGCAAATCAAGCTTCTCAATGCATAATATATGTCCAGTAATGACTGCCCTCTATTGAAATTGATAAACATTTTGTCGCTGTTAAGGTTACGAAATAACACGACTCAATGAGTAATGTTAGTAGAAGGAAAGAGAAAAACAACAAGTTTATAACTGTTTTTATGAATAAGTATCACTATCTTTGAAATAAATCGCAATAATTATACTCGAAAAAAAAAGAAACAGCAAAAGTTATATTTCATTAATTTTTAAGTTCTATTTCATTAAAAATGGCCGACATTGGACGAAGTGGAATTGAAGCAGATTTTATGTATGGTAGTAATGTTGCATCATGTCATGTTTATATTCGTATGCGTAAGTTTAATATTATTAAAATTTAAATTGATAATAAAATATTTTGTGTTTTGTTTCTTTTTTGTTTTTATTAAAGAATTTTTACGCAAGGTTTATGGTATTGTTGCAACTCAACTTTGTTTTGTTGCATTAGTATCAGCAATAATGATGTCATTTGAAAATGTTAAATTATTTTTTCAAACAAATCCAAGTTGTCTTTTATTTATGTTTTTAGCAACAATGATTAGTTTATTTGCTGTTTACGCAAAACGTTTAGAATATCCAACAAATTTTATTTTACTTGGATTATTTACTTTATTTGAATCAGTTACAATTGGAACATTTGTATCATTTTTTGATAAAATATTAGTTATTCAAGCTATTCTTATAACAGCTGCTATTGTTATTGGTTTAACAATCTATACATTCCAAACAAAAAGAGATTTTTCAGCTATGGGTGCTAGTTTATTTGCATTATTATGTGTATTAATTGCTGGTGGAATACTTCAAGTAAGTTAAAGAATAAAAATCAAAAACCAAAATGTTTTTCATTTGAAATATATAATTTTTGTTTTGTTTCTTTGTGTATTTATTAAGATGTTTATTCGTAGTCCAGTAATGGAATTATGTTTGGCTTTAGGTGGTGCATTTATATTTAGTCTCTATTTAGTTTTTGATACACAAAGAATAATGCGTAAAACTTCACCAGAAGAATATATTGATGCAGCTATACAAATTTATCTTGATATAACACGTTTATTTATTGAAATTTTACGTATACTTGAAGCAGCTCGAAACAATTAGATACAAAAAGAAAACTATCGTACTGACTGTAATATTTCAAAAACTTTACCTACACTTTTTTTTCTTTTATCGTTATCAATTTAATTTAAAGAACTTGAGTTTTTTTTGTGTCTAATAGAACGTTATCAACATAAGAACTATCTCATTTATTTTAATTTTAGATATAGAATAAATAAATAAAAAAGCAACATGATGGGAAAATACCAATTGATAATAAATGTCTATCAGATAAATAGTAAATCATTTTGTTACTATATTTATTGGTATGTATAAGAAAGAACAACAGAGAAAGTTATGATTAGGTTTGTCGATATTTTTTTTTTTGAGAGAGAAAGACTAAAAATTCGGCAGAAAATCCAATGTTTTTGGGGGGGGGGGGGGGGTAGAAGCTTCCCTCTAATTGAGAACTCTGGGTATGATAAATCGAAACTTAATATGAATTCAACTAGAGATACAGGATTTGATGATTGTTGAATAGATGTATGATTTAAAATATTTATTTTTCAATAGAAGAGAAATGAAAATTTTTCGAGTAAAATTTGATAGAAACAAAATTTCTAAAGTCTTCGAAAATGAAATACAGAGCGATTCAAAAGTAAGTTTCCTATGAAGAAATAAAACATCAGAATTTTCAATATAGTTTGACCGAATGGACTAGTTTTTCTAATATTAACAAGCGATTATTCATAATTCGTATAAATAATTATATCTCAAAGTATTACTTTTAATATGAATACAAACATATGATGTTTAACTAGTTAAGAAAATAGAGAACATTTTGTAAATAATTTATTTAATTAATAAGAAATATTTATTAATTTTTTATTTGTAATCAGAAAAATAAATATAGGAAAGTAACCATGATGATGAGCAGTGTATTAATCCATTATTCATTGGTATTATCAGTGGATATGAAGAACGATAGTGAAGACCGTCTATTTTTTTGCTTCACTCAATTCATTTAACATAAATCCAAAAAAGTGATCTCATTGTAGATTTTTACAGGTTTATCCGCTTCATTGATCTTAACAGTGGTTATTGAAAATGCATCCCTACTCAAGTAGATAGTGCATCATGAACATTGCATTTTTAATTAAACATTTTGTTTTTTTTTCTTCTTAGTGAAACTCATTAAGATTACTAATCTACAAAGATGTCAAAAGTAATATTTGAAGATAGGATTTTTTTTTCAGCACTTTTCTTATAAATTATGAATAATCCTTTGTTAGAAGTAAAAATTTCATTTGATGGAAATATGTTAGAAATACTCAAGGTTTTATCTCTGTGAAAATAACTTTTGAATCATCTTGTACTACGACGAATTGGAAAAGTCAAGATTTTAATTTCTAGAAACATTCATAATGTTAACTTTAGATAATGATAAATTATAAAACATTTACCGCGAGTCTTTTTAGACAATTTTTCAAGAACGAAATTTACTTTTGTATGTGTTTTTATCTCAATTATTTCGATCAAAACTTATTCAACCTGGTATTATTTTCAAGTAGATAATTTCTGTATAATTGTTATTGTATTTTTGAAATATATAAATAAAGAAATATAACTAAAAATTATTTTCTGTATTCGAACATTAAATTATATATATATGTATCTTTCAGATTTATTATTATTTTAATTGAAAATTTGATTATCATGGTAAGTTTTTTTTTTATTTATTTTTTAAGAACATAATTATTTCAGATATTATAATTTAGATTTATCGTGAAAAAGATGCCGATTATCAAAGTGCACTTTATTATGATCTTATTCTTAATGATATTGTTTTGTCGGATTGTGGTAAGTGAAATAATTTAGAAATATTTATAAAAAATTATAAAATTAATTATAAAAAAATATTTTATATGTCTATCTGTCTATACTTGCAGATAATGTACTCTAAATTGGAAAAAGGTTGTTTTTGTTTTCGTTTCAATGATTAAACTATTATTTTTTTTTTAAATTAAATGTCAATATTTTTTTTTGTTGAGTAATAGAAAGCAAATAAAATAACTTTTTAATCATTATTGAAGAATACTTGAGTCAACAGAACAGGAACATTTCATATATACATACAAAAAACAAAATAAATAGAATTTGGAGTAATATAAAAATACTATGAGTTCAGATTCATTTATTTTTCGGAAATTAATTTATTATATAATAATCATGGATTCTTGAAAAACTTTTCTGTTAATCAAATAGATGTTTTTAGTAAATAAGAATCGAAACAGCTGGACTTTTGGTTAAGAAAAATACGTTTTTACTAGAAAAAATACGAAAATATTTTATTCCAAAACTGACTTTTTAGATGCTATAATTTGCTGAATTTCCTAAAGAAGACTTTTAGAAAACTGATGTGCTTTTATTCGACGAGCTGATTATATTTAAGTCTAGTTTTAATAAAGGTTTACTTAATTGTGTTTTTATTATTTTTCATATAAGATGAATCAGCTGAACAATTACAACATCTACTTAATATCGATTGTGCCTTGGCTTTAAGCGTTTGCAAGTATGTTAAATATATTTCTTATAAAAATCATTAGAAATAACAAGAAAAAAAAATACTTTTAGAAGTCGAAATTTACCATCATGTGTCTTTGTCTTAAGTCTTTTATATATGAAACGTATACGTTCACTTCGTTCAGCAACAGCATTAACAAAAATTGATAATTTAACAACAAAAGAATTATATTTAATAGCAACATTAATTGCTGATAAATATCTTATTGATGAAGGTGAAAATGAACAATTATTTAATTCTGAATTAGCTGAATTAACTGGTATTCGTATTGAACGTATTAATTTAATTGAACGACAAGTTTTAGTATCATTAAATTGGAATTTATATATATCAAATGATGAATATAAAAAATTTTTTTCAGTATTTAAAAATCAAATAATGAAAAAATTAAATAAAACATCTTCAAATGAAAAAATTGAAATTGAAGATTCAATTCAATTTTATAATTTTTGTTTTCAAATATTACCACAAATTATTGAATGTCTTGCATTAACAAGTTTAGTTCTACTTGGTTCAACATTATCAATATTAACAGCTATACATATGAGTACATTAACACATTCAACATTAATGAAAACATTAAATCCGACAATGAATTGTGTTGATTCATCGATTTGTTATTCGAGTATGTAAAAAACAAAATATACTTAAGGCAATCCAAAAGTAATGCCGGAGGTATTTTGATTCCTTATAAAAAGAAAGCATAAGAAAACTTTTTCTCTATATAGTCTGATAGTAAAAAAATAATGCTCTATTTTTCTATGGTATTTAATCATTCTTCAATTAATATGATAATAACAAAAGTTTAATAAGACGTGTTTAGTTAGGATGTGGAATAGTTACATTAGGTTATATTGTCTTCGATATGTATTTTCTTTTAATGCCTAACTGTCTACACAAACATATATATATAAAGGGTACACCGACACTTAAGCCTAAATTAAACAAGAGAGTAATGAATACAAGAAAATGATTTTTTTTTTGAATGATTTCGTCGAAGTGAATTGTGCAATGTTGTTATACTATCCGTAATCTTTAATTTGAATCCCATCGATAGTGTTTTTTCGGAACTTGGTGTATGAATATGATCTGTGACTTAAACGTACTTTATACCATCAAAGTACACACGACCTGCACAAGTATTTCTACAACAACGCCAGATGGTTGAAGATTTATTGGCATGACAATAATGAAAGGTATCAAGTTGAGGGTGATCCTTGTTTTTTGAGAGTTTTACAATTGACATTATATAATAATGATAGAATGAGACAGAACAGTAATGAAAACTAGATAAATTAAATATAATTCGAAAAACTTATTTGTTTTTGTAAAGATAATTGACTTAACTATGGAGAAATATACTAGCGAATCATCAATACCATAGTAAATGGTCGCATGTTTGTATGCACTACTTTTAAGTTGAACAAAGTGATCGAATATTGATTCTATTTCTTTCGTAATTAATCGATGAAGACTCAACTGTCGTGTGACGTATATAAAGACGGATGTCTTGTTTGAATCTATAGTTTATTAGTGTGTTTTCAAGAAAGTTAAAGAAATAAAGTTAGATTAAATCTTGACACTATTCATCTCTGTTCTAGATGAATAATGGACTCTACTCTACACATTTTTCAGACGACTTCTCTGAAAAATGTATAGGACGCACTAGTCACCGAATACAAAAAACTGGAAAAACGTATCTCGTATCCTCGGGACGGCTATCCTATTCCGATTAGAAAATTTCATTCAAAGTATTCTCCTTAAGACAGCGTAGAAAGATGATCTAAATAGTTTCATCAAAGTTGATAAGAGGTTGAAAACAAAGCACAAACTATTTGTTTCTGTATTTCGTTTTTATTACGCCTCCACTACTTTTTGTAAACCATGATATATATATATATAGACAACTACGTATTAGAGGAGACGAGAAAAAAGAAATAAAGAAAATCAAGAAGACAAGATGACCTAATGTAACTATTATACATAATAATCAAATACTATAAAAAATAGAACATTATTTTTATTATCAGACTATATACAGAGAAAGTTTCTTTAAACTATTTGTAAGAAATTGAAATACCCCTGCAATCACTTTTGAATGATCTTAAGTAGAAGTTATTTTTATTTTTTTTATTAAATATTTAGATGATCATGATTATAAAAATGTGAGTCTCATAAAACAAAATAATTTATTCAATATTGATGGACATTCCTGGATATTACAAAATGATTTTATGAATGAAACTACAAATGAATATCAATCATCGAAATTATACTTTGATATATCGTCTTGTTCAATTAATTTTCTTCAACCATATTCATTATCTAGACCACTTGTTCAAACATTATAGTTTAATAACTTTTTTTTTTTTGTCTATCTTTCAAGAGAAACAAAAAAAAAAGAAATTTTGTCACCGGTTTTTTTCTTTCTTCTTCTCTTTCTTGTTTTATATTAATCGTTAATTAATAAAAAAAAAGAAAAAGAATGATTTTGAAAATTAATATTCAATGTGAATACATGAGAATGAATATTATGGTTCTTTTTATTTGATTTCGCTTGTTTTTTTCTTTTTTTTAAAAATCATAATATTATTCAAACACAAACTTATATTGTAAAAAGCTCTCATAGAATTTTCGATGTGAAGCTATACAATGTATTTTTTTTCTTCTGTAAGAATATTCATGGTTTCTTATAAGTAGAAAGTAAAAAAGGAATTGTAAAATATTTAATACATCAGTAGCATTCGAAGGACATCAATGCAATGAATTATTTCGTATTATTTTTTGTATTTTTCATATTTCCAATATTAAACAATGCACAAACAGGTAGGATAATAAAATAAAAAAAACAAAAAACATTTTCAAAAAACAAACTAGAATTTCATTTTTTTTTCTGTATTCCAGTTGAATCGAATAACTCCCTAATCAATACACCATGGTTTTGGCCATTCTTAATTCTTTGTTTAGGACTATTATTTACTATACCATGTACATTAATAATGATTGTTATAATGTATCATAAAAAAAAACAATTAAATGATTCTAATGAATCAAGTATAAGTTCAAATTCATCACCAACACCTATTCAACAACGACCAAGACGATATCATTCTCGTTTTCAACCTTCACATTATGTTGGAGGCGTTTCTAGTCCACCACCACCGTATACAATAAATGAACATTTATCTGTTACTCCTTCTCTTCCTCCATCATATGAATCTTGTGTAATTGAAAATGAATCAATACCTATAACTACAAATCCCACAACAACAGAAACAATAATTAATGTTGAACCAATAGAAAGTATTAGCAATCAATCAACAAATTTAAATCTTTCATCAATTTCAACTAATTCATCAATTCAAACATTTCAAGTTTGAAAATAACAAAAATCAAACTTTCTCTTTTAATATTTTTTTTCTGCCATCTTCCTATTTGATTGAAAAAAAAAGAAAAAGAGGAGGAATTAATCGTGACTGCCGCTGATATAGGTAGAAAAAAAAACGACAAGAACTAAAGCAGTTAAAGAAGAAGAACAACAACAACAAGAAGACGAAGTATTTGTGAAAAATAAACGTGTTAACACATAATACGAGCAAAAAAAAAACGAAAAGAAAAAACAAAAAAAGGTATCGTGTATATTTATGATACAAAAAGAGCAAAGATGAAATAATAGGAGGAGAAAGGATCATACATGCACAGAGAGATTCGAGTAGAAATTATCTGCTAGACAAACGACTTTTGTTAAGTGATGATAAAAATTCATTTGTTTTTAGTAGATTAATTATATGTGGGTGGTAAGAAAGAAAGAGAGATGGAGGGAGGGAGAGGGAAGGGAAGGGAAAAGGGAAATATAATGAGAACAAGAGCACCTCACAAACAGACATTAAATACATAAAAGAATATTTCACTTAAATATGAATATGAATAGAAAAGCTTGGCTTTACGAATAGACACACACATAGAGAGCACCGTTTTTGTTTTCTCAAGTGTTCAATGAAAGTTGAGCAAAGCCAATAAGTAATTTATCATCAGGTGGTTGGCTAGGATCGACATATGATTTCTAATTAAAAATAAATAAAATATTCAAAATTTGAGAAACAAAAAAAAAAAAAGAAAACGAACTAGAGCAAATGTTGCAGTACTAAGTGATGGGTTTTCTACGAGTTTCGTCATTGTAGAAGTAACTAAAATTATAAAATTAAATTACAAAGAATTTAAAAATAAAACAAAAAATTTACCAGGTTGTGCATCACGTTCATCAATTAAATTAGCTGATACCATTTCTGAAACAACATCTGGTACAGTTTCACTTACTTTGTTAAATTCAAATTTAATATCATGTAGATCTCCTTGTCCATTTCTAAATAATAAAAATATTATCTTAAAAATGTAACAAAATAATGAATTATTATTAAAAATTTTTGAATAAATAAAATCTTTATTAAAAGTTTAATGTATTTTAAAAAATATTACATAAACAACTACTATTCTAATGCAAAGAATTCATCAAATAGATATAATGACGATTATAATTTTTCAACAATATATCCTGTTCTTTCCCATAGATCATCTTCAACATTGACTTTTCCATTCAAACTTTACATAAAGTTCTTAATTGTATAAGTGAATTGTGAAAACATCAAATTTGTAAAATATCTTCTATTTTCAGAGAATAATTTCATTGAAGAAAAAAACACAGGAAACTTTATTCCAAAATAAAACCTGATACATTCATAATGAATTACTCACGAGAGAACCTTTTTTTAGATACCTACCTTGCGATTTCAATGATTTCTTTTTTTGCCTATAGAAATTACAAAAAATGTTCTAATAGAAACTCTAAAAGAATTTAGATTCCTATTTGACTAGGCTATCGAGTTTTGATCTGAAAGTTTGCGTATATAGAGAACTCAACTGGACTAGAGTCTCCATAAAAAAAATTCAGAAATTTTGAATAAAGTCTCTTCCAGTGCATCTCATTACTTAGAACTCGTGAGTTTTAGCTGTTTTCTACTTTTTTTTTGTTTTGTACTAACCGTATTCTTAGAGTAAATTTGAGTACTTGATGATCATCAGTCGATAGTTCTTTAACTGCAGTAGTAATTTCATCTGTAATCGTATGTGATGGTCCTTCATTCGATACTTGATTCTATTTATTATTATCATGATCAAAAGTTTAAAAAACAAAAGAAATTCATATTGTTTTACTGATTTTACTTGCGCATCATTTTTTTCAATTAAATCTTCAATATTTGTAACGGTTTGATTTTCTAATTGTTTTATTTTATTTGCTGGATCATCATTTGATGTTGTTTCATTTCCACTCGTATTTTCCTCATCTGAACCACTACTAAATTTCCATTCTCCACTATCACTAACACGTACAGCACGTACAGATGTTGGTTTACGTCGATTAACAGTTTTTTCTTCCATTTTTTTTCTATCTTGAAATTTTAATGCTAAATATTTTGCTATATATGAACGATCTTTAGCTTTTTTAAAAAAATCATGTTTTAATAAGTGTTTTGCTGTTGGACGATCAGCAGGATTTTTTTGTAAACATTGTTCAATTAATTTCCTAGAAATCAAATAAGAAAAACAAAAACACATGAATAATTAAGAAGATCTATAAATTTAAAAACTAACCTGAAGGTTTTACTATATTGTTTATATTGATCACGATCTTCTGCACATATATCTAATGTTGGTGGTTCATTTTGTAAAGTCATTATTAAAACCTAAAGAAATAATTTAAGAATAAAATTGAACTAATAAAATAATACTAACTTTCATTGGAGGATATTTATGATAAGGAGCTGTACCCGTTGCTAATTCAATAGCTAATATACCAAATGACCATATATCCGCTTTAGTATCTATTTCAAAAATAGAAATTCAATGTAAAAAAAATAAAAAATCATAATAAATTTCTTTAACTCACCATAACCCGTTGGCTAAAAGCAAAAAAAAAAAGAAGTGTTATAGAGAAAAAGCTATGAAACTCAAAGAATACAAATTTACTTGTTGCTCCATAACTTCAGGTGCCATCCTAGAAAATAATCAAATCAAAATTTTTATATCTTGATAATTAGAATATCTGTATAACAAATCAAACTATTCTATCAATCAGTAGATATTACAGATCAACTTTCGATTATGTTATAAAATTCGATTTATACTTACCAACAAGGGGTACCGACAAATGTATGCCGTTGTTTATCTCGTGTTATATCTCCACCTGATGCTATAAAAGCACTAACACCAAAATCAGCTATTTGCACACTTCCATCTGTACCCAATAAAATATTTCCAGCTTTAATATCTCTTTAAAATAAACAAAAATAAAAAATTACTAATAATTTTTATTGTATACCTATGTATATGTCCATTTGAATGAAAATAATCTAAACCTTTAATAACTTCTCGTAGAACAGTTGCAATTGCAACTTCATCAAGAACACCATTACGACAATTACCACGCTGCATTGTATAACGTATAATATCAAGTAATGAACCTAAACAAAACATACAAAAAACAAATAATATCTTTTTTCTTTGCTTACCTCCATCTAATAATTTCATGATAAGCCATAATTCTTCACCAACAACAAATGATGTATTAAATCGTACGACATTTTCATGTTGACATTGACTCATTACTTGTATTTCTTTCTAAAAAATATATATATATATATATATATTAATACAAAAAAATCTAAATTAATTATAAAATCATAACTTACTAAAAGTTCTTCGAGGGATGTATTACATCGATCAAGATTAATACGTTTAACTGCAACACGTTCTTTGGTTTTTTTTACTGTTGCAGCTTGAACAATAGCTGTAGCACCTCGACCTAAATATTATATTTCAAATTAAAACAAATAGTTTTTCTTTTCTCATTGTAACTTGTTACCAATCACTTCTTCAAGTTCATAATCATCAGCGCTAATCGGCCATTTAGCACGACTTTCATGATGAATATCACTTCCTTCAGCCATAATCTAATACAAAAGAAAAAAAAAACAAATTAAAATATTCAATATTATTCTTCATCTATACAAACGTTTTTTTCTTTCTTTAATAATAAAAATAATCAATCATATGTAGAAAAAAAAATTAAGATTGTTTGAAAATTCAACTCATAACCAACTAAATGAAACAAAAAAAAAATAAAACAAAAGACAATTGATGGTTTCATTTATTTAACAGACACATCTGGTGTTGATGTCTTTTTTTTTTCTCAACACATAAACAAGACAAACGAAAAGTTACCTGTAATTTTGAGAGATGCACATTTAATGTAAAAGAAACAACAAAAAAAGTACGACAGAAAAAAAAACTAGACAAAAGTCTTTTTTTTTGTTTTTTATTTATGTTGGCTTATTGAAAAATAATAATCATAGAAATATTTTTCATTAAATCAATAGATTTGTCTAGAACGAATAATAAAATGATTTATCTATTAACCTTGGAAATCTATTCAAATATCAATCGAAAGTATCATTCATCTATTCGACGACTGCTCCGGAAAGAAAAAGACTAACTCTATTGGTTGAATTTAATTACCAATAAATAGTTTTGTTAATAGAGAGGATTTATTATTATTGTTAATATGGCCACCTAGCGACAAACATATGATGTTCGAACTTAAACAAAGAAATATAGATGTCTCGAGGCCACGTTCATGACTCAGGAGTCTGATCAGATTTGGATTAGGACAAGGGACGCTGCGCGTTTTTTTTAGGAGGAATTTGTGAGCAAAAAGAAACAAAAATTTTTCAAGATCGGAGATCTCTTCACTTGGAAGACTCCTATAAAGGAAGTAAATGAGACAGAATTACTTTTGTTTAAAAATACAAATCTAATTATCGATAGGTACATTTATAATATGAAAATTTTAAAGAAATAATTTCCATCTATTTTAGTTATCTATAAAAATTTCAGAAAATTATTTTTCTTTCTTTTACCAAACATTAACCTTGAAAATAAGTATACTATACATTTGTCGACGTACAAAATAAGTTTTGTCATATGATTGGTAAAAGTATGACTTGAAAAAACATAGGTATGTATTTTTACTTGTTATTGTTTTTGTGACCATAAACATAAAGAAATATTTCATAGTAAGAGAGAAAAACATTCATTTTACATTCTATTTTTTGTTGATACTTAACACATCAACATTTGTCGGTTGGTTGAAATATATGAAATGAAAAAATAAAGTAGTTATGTTGATTATCTACGTTTACAGCGCCATTACGTTTCATAGGAACATAATAATAAAAAAAAGTAAATGACAATCATGTCAATATCGAATTATGAAATGTCATTATGCAAAAATATTTTTTAATATCAACTAAAGAGAAATTGATAATTCTGAAAATCTTTTCTTAAAAAAAACAACAATATTTCTAGTTACGTTGTGATCAATACGAAAGGTCTATTGATTCGTAACCGATGGTGCAAAAATTCTTCGTCGGTTCGTTTTTTTATTGGTTAAAATATGTTTCGAGAAAATCAAAAATATCCTATTTAGAATGTTTGTTGAAAGATCTTTTTAACTGTATATTTAAAAAACTTTGATTATATTTTGCATTTGAGTAACGAACACATCTTTAAATAACATTAAAATGTAGTCTGTAAAAAGCAATTACCAACTGCTGCGATAGAAGGACTCGATCTTTAAGTGATGTCATATTTTTTTCTACCAGATTCGTAGAGAATTAGACGATAAAATCCAATGAAGAAAAAAACATTGGTTGCTTCTATCACAGCAATTGTGAGTTACTCCTTACAGACAATATTTTAGTGTTATTTAAAGATGTGCTTGTTATTCCAAAGGCAAAACATAATAAAACTTTTTTGATCATACAATTACAAAGAGCTTTCAACATAGATCCTGAATAGATATTTTTGATTTTTCCGAAAGATATTTTAGTTGATGAAAAAACAAAGCAATATTTTTCCAGGAACTTTTATATCATCCGTTACGTATCATTTTTCTAAAGAATACTAGTTTTTAATTGTTTAATATTATACATATGAACCTCCTATCAAAGATTGAAAAACGGATGATATCGATTCGAACTTATCATGTGTTGTTTGAACGAATTTAATTCAAAAATATGTAAACAGAATTCTTTTGTAATCAGTTGAATAACAACTGCCAAAGGAATTTTCATGCAATCTAAACATTAATATAGATATTTCTATATAAATATATTATTCCGGTTCTGTTGTTTCTATGACAGATGATATACAAATAATAATCTTCTATTTTTTGTTTTGAGAAAAAAATCCAATTAACCAATCAGTAAGTTTTTTTTTTTCATTTTTCCAACTTAAACAAATCACTAAGAAACTTAGTAGTAAATTTCTATGTTCACTTCATAAACATTGAAATTAATCTGTTTTCATCGTACAGATGAAATATGTTAGGCAAAATAATTCAATTCATTATTCTTTTTCTTATCAATAAATGATACTACTTTTATCAAATGTTATAGAAAAATTAATTTTGAAACGCGCGATGAAGATTACATCTGTTGATTAAATCAAAGATGTCGCCATATGAACATTAATCATTGTCATTCATGTTTAGTGGATTCATACTTTCTATTTACAAGAATCAATGAATTTTGAATAATTCTTTTATTTGTAGATATTTTGTTCAAAGCACTTAGTTATTCAAATGTATGTCAAGATTTTATATAATGTTATTTTGTTTTGTTATATACGTAAAAGATTATGAGTAATTCTATAGAAATAATCATTATAACAGTAGAGACTTGTAACTCATCAAGTACCATTGCTTGACCATAATAGCTTAGCAGTTCTAAATGTGTGTAATTATTATCATCAGCGAATGCTCATCACCAAAACAAGTTTAAGCCTCTTTTTCTGGATGGGTCGCGTGATATAAACAGTGTATTTCATTTATCATAAAATTCTTATAACTTCTGACTTTCTTCTATCTAGAAAATGAACTTGAAGTATTAATTCTTAGATATTTTCTGAAATACAGCTAATGTGCAATTGAGCGTCAATTTTGAAGTTTGACACTTTCTTTCGAAAATATTTAAAATTCGACTGAAGAATATTATTTTCACTTCACAATTGCAGCAAATATCCATATATATATAGCTTTCAATTATTTACATAAAGTACAAGAGTTAAATAGTAGATGGTTTGAGAAATTCATTAAAAATGAACACCCACTATTATAACATACATAGGGTTGATAAAGATAGATCATTCAATTCTATCATATCTTTTATGATTAATGTACATCATAATGATATAAAAATATAATAATTAACGTGTAAAGAGAAAATATTCATAGGTTAAATATTTTTCAAGAAAATTTCACACTTACCTTCTCTAATCCTTAAGACATGTCATATTCATTGCATTTTTTCTTTGACACTTTCCATATACAAACAAGCAAAATGAATAGCATATTTGAGATCAATCGACAAAACTATATTGTTACGTTTCGATATTCTTCTTATGTTTACGAGTTACTCAAAAATTAGGAAATTCTAAACGAGCATACTGAATTCTGTAGGTTAGTACTCAATGACTTAAATTTCAATCTGATATATATATACATCGAAATCTGATTTCTATTGGTTGTATTGATAAACAAATGATTACCTATTGGAAATAAACTATCTAAAAAACTAATTAAATATAGTTTTTATTATTTTCTATTTGTTTAACTTAAACTAATAAACTATGATTAATAGCATAATAGTCAAATTTATTTGAAAAATCAATAGATGATGACGAAGTAATAAATAAATTACATGATTGGTTAATTTAAATTGACAAAGTGGCCCAATAATAATCGCTATAGTAATCACTCATGCAAAAAATAAAGATACATTCATAACTTTGTAATTCTCAATAATAATATTAAAAAAAATATGTATTTCAATTTTAGATGGCTTGGAATTCAATTCTATTCTTATCATTTATCAGTCTTATATCATTGAAATATACACTTGGATATTATGTAGTAGTTGATGCTCATTCAGATGAATGTTTTTTTGAAAAATTAACATCTGGTACAAAATTATTATTAACATTTGAAGTAATTGAAGGTGGTTTTCTTGATATTGATGTCAAGGTAAATGTTTGCTTTTGTTTGTTTTTGTTTTCATTGATTTTTTGTTTATTTTATAGATAGATGGTCCTGATCAAAAGGAAATTTATCGTGGTGATCGAGAATCTAGTGGGAAAACAACATTTTCAGCTCATATGGATGGTAAATTAACTTAAATTATTATTATTATTCATATTTTTATTTTTTTTTGATATTTAGGTACTTATACATTATGTTTCAGTAATCGAATGTCAACAATGACACCAAAAATGGTTATGTTTACAATGGAAGTTGGTGATGCACCTAAACTTGATATAGCTCCTGGTGCAACAGGTGATAATATTACACGTAAATAGATTTCGATTTTTTTCTATGAAATACAAAAAAAAAAATAAATGAATTGAATGATTGTTTTAGTTCATCATAATAAACTTGAAGAATTAGTTGCTGAATTATCTGCATCATTAACTAATGTTAAACACGAACAAGAATTTATGGAAGTTAGAGAACGTATTCATCGTGCAAGTAAGTTTCTTTTTTTTTTTTTTTTGTTGTAAAATATTTTCGAAATATAAAATTATTTTGTTTTAGTTAATGAAAATACAAATTCTCGTGTTGTTATGTGGTCATGTTTTGAAGCATTTATTCTTTTAACTATGGCTTTTGGTCAAGTTTATTATCTTAAACGATTTTTTGAAGTTCGTAGAGTTGTATAGAACTAAATAAACATTGGATTATTTTATTGACTCATATTATTTCTCTCAAAAAAAAAAAAAAAAAAAAAAATATCAACTATTGGTCTGTTTTTTGTTTTTCATCTTTCCATATCTTATTCTTTTTCTTTTTTGTTTCCAGTAGTTCATTTCTTGTTGGGTTATGAGTGTTTAGGAGTTTTTAAGTGTATTTCACATTTGTTTTTATTGTTACTTTGAAATATAAATAAAAAAGTCTATTTCGTGGTAATGAAAATTCAAGTTTTAAGTATTCTATTGTATAAAAAAAAAATCTTAATATGAAGAAAATGTTAGAGACAAGCAAAAAAAGAATAAATTTTTCCATGATTAAATGTTCGATTCGTAGGCGTGTCTCAAGGTCAATAGGATTGAGAGAAGGCGACGACTCAAGAAGCTGATGGGAAGATTTTTGCTATAGTGGAATGTTTGTTTTAGAAATGGTTGAGCAAAAAGAAAACAATAAAACAGAGTTCTGTTGGAGAAAACGAAAATCTTTCAAGATAGGGGAGACACTCCTGTCAATTCGTATAGAATTTTTATGTGCTGTGCAAAAGCTAAGTATTTCATATCATATGGATTAAATTGGTTTTCTTTTTTTAAATTTATTTTAATGCGTAGAGAATAAAATTCATTTAGAATGTTTTGTAATATGAAAATCAAAAACAAGTAAACTCTTTATTCGATCACATGAACTTTAATTGAATTTATTTAAATATGGTATAAACTAAAGATCGATAAATTGTATTTTAAATTTTTCAAAGACATTCAACATATTGTCTTGATTGTTCAAGATCAACTGAATGTATTCGATAATAATGAAATCGATCTAAAGATTTACACTATAATTAGTCCAAAAAGAAAAAATGAACATTCTTTTTTGCAGTAATTTTTTAAATTCCACAAAAAAGTACATTTCTCTCATGAAAAATCAAATTTTAGAAATTGCTCCCAAAGAAAACTCATATCCAGAAGAAAGTTTGGAAGTTACGATAATTGTCGTTAAATCAATCGAAACCATTTGCTGGTAAATACGTAAATTTCCAGTAAAATTCCGAAGTTCCTCATATATCACTTTGCAACTTCCAGATAAGTTTGATAATAAACAATCAGCAAAAAAAGAAATTTTTGCAAACAATACATGAATTTCAGTAATTATTGCAAAACTGCTGGTAAATTTCGGTAGATACAGAAATTACCATATGCATATTCTCGATAAATATCAATATATTCTCCTACGGAGAAAAAGATCTTACTCTCTCAAATATTACTAATTTTGAAAATTAGTAATAAAGTTCGGAGGTTACCTACATGTGAAAAGGTTACGTCTTCTTCTGAGTAATACAGTACATTGACATGAATATTGATAAAATTTTTGATAATTCCTGTATTTAGTGAAATTTTCTAGTAATTTCTGAAAGAACACTGCCCAATAAGATTCTAAATCTGCCATCTTCTTTGTTGAAGCTTAAAATATTATAAACCCAATATGAAAACTAATAATGTAGATAGATGCAGTTTTTTGTGCTCTACAAATTGACATAGTGATCGTATTTATCATTAACTTCTTACTTAAACACTGTAGGATCGTACAGGTGCAATATCAGACCTGTAAAATTCTGCATAAACTAATCGATGAATATGATCACTATGTCATTTTGTAAAATATGATAAATTGTGTCGATTTTTACTATTAGTTTTCATATTGAGTGTGAAAAAGAAAAAATTATATTACTATAATTATTATCGAAAATACTCAAAACTGATAGATCTCCTAAGACTATTTAGTCTTTGCAAATTTCTTTTTGGTATTGAACGAAAAACTAATAACTACACAGAAATGTGCAGAATTTCATATTCCATCTTTTTCATCTATTGAAAATAAAACTTAAGAGAATGGTAGATTGAGAATCTTATCCAACGGTATTCTTTCTCATATTGAAATAACTTCGTAATGATTAAGTAATTTCATAATTTATTCAGAAATTTCGTAACTTCTGATTAATTTATGTTTACTTAATGATAAGTTTCAATAAGTCTTAGGAAATTTTGAAAATTACCGATAAATTTCTGTATCTCTTTCTCTAATAGATTGTTTCGCTGTATCAAAAATTTAGTTTTTTGGATAGTAAAAATAAGACTTGAAGATAACGTATATATTCATTTCTTGTCATCACTCTCTTACATATATAATTTTGATATTATTGATTTCTTTGAAATAGAATAATGTAGATTGAAAATTTTGAATCTTAATTTTTCTTTTGCATTTATTTATATTTTAATCGAATAATAAAAGAAAGATACAAATGATAATGAAAAAAAAAAGATATAGTAAAAAGATAAGATCAATGAGGTCGCATTGTTTTAAAAACATTGACAAATTTGTCGAATGCTTCCTGTGATCGATTTCTTTTCATTCCATTAGCATTTGCCGTTGAAGTTGTTGTTGAAACTGTTCCTGGACTAGTTGAACCAGTACTATGTGATTGATCGAATCGAACTTGATCAAATTCACTTGTTGTTATATCATGTCCATCTGTAATAATAAGAACAAATAAACGTTTTATTTCCATAATATCAATACGATTTTTAATTGTTTGATCAAGTGTTTCATCATAAACTTTTGAATATTCCAAACAAATTTCATGTAAATCTTTATCTTGATGACCAATTATAGTACGTATTAAAGTTAAATAATCAATTGGTGTTTTATCTAATGCTTGTCGAAGTATTTTAGCATGATAAATACTTGGTGATCGTACATATTCAACTATATCTTGAAAACATTCAGTTTCAATTTTACCATGAAATTCACGTTCAATAGCATCTTGTATTGGTCGTCCATATTTATCTTCATATGCATCAAATATAGCTGATAATTGTGCAAAAGTATCACGTGTAAAAATTTTTATAAATGTATCATAATCAATACCAGGTGTACCTTCACCAGCTTCATATAATTTTTTCGCTATATTTTTAGCTACTGTTGTTGAATGACCACATTCTTCATAACGTTTACCTTGGAGTAATTGTTTAAGTAAATTTGCTATTAGATTTTCAATACCTTCAACAATATCAATATCATTTTGTACAGGACTTTCAAATAAATTTTCATATGTTTCTTTAAATTTTTGTATATCTTCATTATCTAATGGTAATAAAATTTCAACTAATTTTCTTGCTATATCATAATTAGTTTGTTTTAACTGTTTCAATGTTAATAAATCACGAAAATCACGTACATATAATTCAATTGGTTCAACTAACATTGCTAATGTACATGAACGCATTGGAGATTCAGGTCTTTCAAGTACCATATCAATTAATTTATATTCATATTCAAATTCAAGATCACGAACAAGGATAATACGTTGTTCACATGTATATGATGACAGAAAATGAAGAATAAAATCTAAATCCAACGTATGTGCTGCTATGCAGTGCTTCAATTTTTTGCATAAATATTTTGTATCACGTTTATAATCAAATTCTGCTGCATGACCAAACGAAGGAATAGTTGATTGACGCTAAAAAATTTGCAAAACAAAATCAGTAATTTTTCTGTTTTAAATATTGAAAAACAAAAAGTTACTTTGTTTATTGTTTTAGAAGGTGAGTGATTATATGAGAAATGCATGTTTATTTGTTATTGAAAATAAAACCATGTATGAGTATGAAAGGTTAAATTTATATATATATGTTATATGATGTTAGTTTTACAACATAAGAGAAATTCATTATACTTACTGTTAAACGTCTATCTAGTTTTGTCAAATCATGAGAGTATGTTTTTGATTTTACTAATGTTGCTACTTTTTTTATATCATGATGTGAAACTCTATGCAACAAATTTGACATTGGTATTTTCACTTTTAATGAATTAATCAATAACAAAAAGAGACAAAATAAATTTAAATCATAGAATAATAATATGTATGTATATGGTGTTGATATTTATATAAAAAAAAAAAGTGCAATAAAAAGGAGAAAACAAAAAAAAAATGTATTCTTTTTCTATCACGCCATTTATATTCATGAGTCGATAGAATGACGGATAGGAAATATGTTTATTGTAAGTCATGCATCGTCGATTTATCTGTCTGAGTAATAATAACGTGACAAATGTATGGTTCACTATGAAAAGAAAAGAATATTTTAAAGACGGGACATATGCATTTACTATTTGTACTTTGAACAACATTTAGTCATAATTTTTTTTTTCTTTTTCTTTTTGTATGAAATAAATGATCATACTCTAAGGTTATGATCGAAGAGTATTTTATAGAACGAATGATTATTCGATTGAAAGGATATACAAAAAATAAATTCAACATGATCAAATATATTCAAATGCGTTGAACCATAAACTGATGAACTTTAAAAAATAAAATGATGTTGCTTTTTATTTTATTTACTAATATATACTGTTATAAGTAAGATGAATAACTATCAATAATGTCTCTTATTGTACGAATTTGATTCGGATTAACATTACAACATCCTCCAATGTATTTTATACCAGCATCAATATATGAACGTATAAATGGTGCAATCAATCGACCTTCATTTTTGAATGTCCTATCATTATAAATAAAAATGAATAGATTATATACAAAAGAAAAAAAAGAGAAAGCTTATTTTTACATTGTTTCAGGATCCCATGTAACACCAGCATTAGGATAAGCTATAAAATCACGATCCATTTTATTCATTTGCTTGATAAGAGGAACAACAGTTTCTGGATGTACACAATTTACACCAACAGCTATAATTTGATCAGGAGATTTAAGACAAACAGATGCAGCTGCTTCTTCAATTGGTTCACCATGTGCTGTCGTTTTAGTATCCTATATTTATACATGAACATTTTATGATTGAAAATATTGATCTGACAAATTTTGTTTTAACATTCCTATTTATCAATTAGTCTTATGAACAATATTTATAGCAGTTACAAAAATGGAATCTTTATTTTATGTCAAAATTTTCCTAAATAATTAAGCAAAAAGCTTAATCAACATAACGCCCACTTTTTTTTGTTTATTCTAACTACCAAGAAAGTCAAGATAATATTCATATATTAAATAATCATTTGTGACATATGCATAAAAAAAAATATGATCAGTTTTTCATCTTTTGCTTTCCTTTAGTCTACTGTACGGAAATCAATGTCATAAAATAATGTCATGATATTTTTCACTTGCATGACATTTTCATTTATGGCGTATGATTTGAAAAAAATATATATAATGACATATATGACTAAATCTTTTTTTCTATAATTGATGAATTATCAAATAATAATTGTCATCATTGAAATTACTGTCTAATTACAAAAATTAAGACTTAATGTTCTTCAATATAAAAAAAAACAAACAAAACGATGAAACATATTATGAGAAACATAGCTTCACTCAAAAAATTATAAATATTTGTTTCTTTTTTCCAAAAAACTTCTAACTCAATTTTCACTTCAGACTATTTTTTACAAGAATTTTAAGTACCTGACAATTGAACGAAAGCCATCCTTTTACATTTGGAAATTCTTTTAGTAATTCAACAAGTGCTTCAGCTTCTTTTTTTGATGGTATTGTTTCAAAAGCAATGAAATCAGGCTGAGCACGAGCTAATACTGCCAATCGAGGTCGATGCCAATCTTTGAATTGCTACAGACAAAAATCAAAATCAATAATTAGTTAGAATATCAAAAACAACAACAATAACAATAAGCGAACAAATAATAATGAAATACTTCGATTGTCATTGAATCTGTATACCATCCATTGAATTCACTACCATCACTTAATGCTGCTCCGTACGGACCAATTGAAGCTGCTACATAACATTTTGCTTTTTCTTCATCTATATTCGAATAAATAAATAATTTCATTTTTAATTATAGTTTTTAAATCAAACTGACCAATAACATTTCGAGCAATTTTGACTGAATTATAGATAATTTCTTCCGCTTGTTCATTAGATAAATGATGATAATTCATTAGATTATCAACTGTAACTTGATATGTAGCAGTTAAAATAACATCACATTTAGCTTGAACAAAACTAAATTCTAATCTATTTAGTATTCATAATATAGTCATCTATATAGATCTTACTCTCGATGTACTTTTGCAAGTAGTTCCTGTTCTTTTACTAATGCTTTTCCAGACCTTATCGTAAAGAAAAATGAAAAAACAAATCCATATGACTATATGAAAGAAAATCTTTATTAAAATTATTAACCATAAAGGATCATCAAATACGGCAAGTCCATATTCGTGCAATGTTGTACCAAGACCGCCATCAATTAAAATTATTTTATTATCATTTCGAGTAAAATTCATCTAAAAAAATTTATTTTTAATTTCTATTTTTACCGCTTGATTTTTCATTTATCATTTTAAAGAGAAAAAAGAAAATATGGCTGTTTTGTTTTTTTTTGTTTAAAATAAATTCATTTTTCTCACATCTTTTCTTCTGTGTTTTTTTTCTTATTTCTCTTCATCTCAACCAACGAAGACCCATAATTTTAATATAAAAGAAAAAAAGAGAAAGTGAGAAAAAAAAAATCATTAAAATAAAGCAATCGTTACTCTGATGTTTAACAATGATGTACAAACACCATCTACTAACAATTGGAAACGGAATACTAATGAGCATCCAATTGATCGAATACTTACAGCTTATTTTCATACAAATAAACAGATAAGAAATTCTCAATCAAATACTCGATCAAACAATTATAAATCAGAAACAAGCCATATTATGCAACGTCAACGAGTTATACGTTCATTTTTAAATAAACCAGATGAAACTGAAGTAGGTAAACAATATTGTGACTTATTCAAGAGAGAACAAATAATGTCATTGTATTCTTGACCATTGAAATACTTGTTTAGACTATACTATCAATAAAAAATTTCGTGGAAAAATTCAGATATATGAGCATTAGTATCTAAATAATGTTCAAGAAGCTAATCAAAGAACTGCTGCTCAACTCTTCTGTCTGTGAGCTGACAATACTGATATCCTTCCTGATAGATGTTTAGCTATATCCCGATTCATATGTAATCAATTGGTCAGTAGTATCATTGAAGTTATCACACTTAGATCGAAACTTTTAGTGTTGATCTCGATGTCTTTTTGCTCGATCTCTGTCTTCATCGATTGGTAGTAGATTGAAGCATCATTGATCTCTGTTGAATGATCATGACTCACGAGGTAATCTCTTCAGCTGTTCTCTTACGATTTCAATAATTTTTAGTGAAAACTCTAAAATGATTCAGATTTATATTTGAGATGCGACTAAGCTAGCGAGCTTTCAATAAGTCCATTATGTAGAGACTTTAGATTTTCAGAAGACTCATGTTTTTGAATTTTCATCTGCAACTTTATACATATAGAGAAGTCAGCCAGAGTAATTTCCATCAAAGACTCAGAAGTTTTGAACATAATTTCTTCAAGATATGAAGCTTTCAAAAAATTCATCTTGTATACATTCTCCCATGGACAAAAATAGGTCTCTTTTTTCAAGTGCGTCTTTTGCTTTTCCTTTTATATTACTATATATATATATATATACTTATACGTCATTATCTAGGTAATAGAGTCAACTATATTTATATACACATATGATGTCTGATTTACGCATTATCTTGTTTTATTTTACATTTATTTGAAAATGACGCAACTTGATAATATTGAGAGAACGCAAACAGCGATACAAAGAAAAAAAAAATAATCTATTTAATCATTCTCAGTTGTAAAGTGATAAACATATGTTTTATGAAAAGTAATTGTTTTCTGTAGCCGAGAAGCTTCACAAATGGTCATTAACTCTATCACCAATAATCAATGAAGACGTAGCTCTGAATCAATGCAGCAATCTCACTCAAAGTTTTTCTTGTTCGACTATTTAAACTCTTCATGCACACAGTATCAGTCCCATTATTATGATATACAATAATGCCGTGTGCGATGAGCATGTATTTGATATTATACGTATGCGTAGCTTGGACAATGGAGCGACAACTTTAAGTGAGATTGCCGCCTCGGTTTATAGCTACATCTTCATTGATTATTGATGATAGAGTGGGCGACCATTTGTGAAGCTTATTGGTTATAGAAAATAATCACCTTTTATGAAAGACACATTTAGGCTTACCTTTATTCTAGAACTAAAGCCGGTTACACTAGATATTTTTTTTTCCTTTGCATTACTGTTTACATTCTCTCAATATTATTAAGTTGCATCAGTTTGAAATAACTACAAAATAAAGCAAAATAATACATAAATAAAATATAATATGTGTAAATAAATATAGTTGACTCTATTACCTATATAATAATATACAAATGTATATATAGTAATACAAGAGGAAAAACAAAAGATATATTTGAAAAAGAAACCTATTTTTATCCATGGGAAAATGTGTATAACATGAATTTTTTGAAAGCTTCATATCTCGAAGAGATTTTGTTCAAAACTTTTGAGTCTTTTATGGAAATTAATCTAGCTGAGAATGAAACCTTTTCAGGTATTTCCCTCTGATTCCAATGATTTTTTTTGTCTATAGGCACTGTTCAATGCTCTAATAAAAACCCTTAAAGGATTTGGGTTTCTATCACTTCCTTCAAAACTTATGAACATTTTTATTTTGTTCCTATATTGTATAGCACACAGTGTGGTCCATAAACGGCACTACATTGAAAAATGAAATATCTCCGCATTAGTTAAATTAAATGGATTGATTTTTTTTATATTTGGGAGAAGTTCATTAATAGTTTTTTTTTCATACAGATAAGATAAGCAAATACTATTGTTCAGTATTATTTTTGGTGTCATGAAAATAGTTTTATGTGTTATCTGGTAAACAACAGTACATGTTTAGCGTTTCATAAATAATATTCAGTTGTACTATAAGAGAACATGAAGAACAGGTCACAACGAACTTTATCAATGATTCTGTATTGATGTACATAAAATAAATTTTCAAAACTAATTATTTTAAAAGTCTACAGTTACAAAATTTCGAATTTTCAAATATAGTATATTGGTTTTTGCAAGAAAGCTGATGTTTTGATACCCAAAGAGCTGCAATTGTGTGTTTCACTTATAGAGCACGAATTTCAGGATTAAAACTAATTAGTTTTGAAAATTTGTTTTATGTATACCAATGCAGAATCATTGAAAAAGTTCGTTGTGACTTATTCTTCTTATTCTCTTAGAGGACAACTTAAAATCACCTATGAAATGCTAAACATATATTGTTTTTTACTTTATAACAGATAAAATTGCTTTTTGCTTACCTTATTTGTAGGGAAAAAAAACTTTAAATAAACTTCTACCAATCATCAAAAAATCAATCCATTTAATTGAACCAATGCGAAAACATTTCACTTTTTATCGTAGTGCTATTTAGAGTCCATACCACATACGATACACTATAGAGATAAAATAAAACTGTTTATAGCTTTTGAAGGAAGTAATAGAAACCCAAATTCTTTAAGGATTTTTATTAGAGTATTGAACAGTGTCTATAGGCAAAGGTCATTCAAATCAGAGAAGAGCATCTGAAAAGGTTCCTTCGTGAGTGTTACATGTGCTTAAAGTTTCAGATCAAAATTCGAAAATACGAGTTTTTAGAAAATTGAGGACCTTTATAAAATAAACATATTGAAAATTCGATAGTTTGGTCAAATCTCAATAGAAATCCCAATCATTTTAGGATTGCTATCAGAACATTCTGTAGTATCTATATGCAAAAATAAAGTTATTTTAATAAGAAAGGAACAGGAGAAGAGGTTCCCTCATGAATCGGTACATGCCTAACTCTTATACAGATAGAAAAGACACAATGTCTTATATTTCGATATTTTTTTTTCGACATTATCTTTTCAATATAATAAAAGTATAGAGTTTCTTTTTTGATTTATTTTTGCATTGTTTAAATTTCTCAGATTTCTAATCGAATCATTTTAGTCATCTATTCAAAAACCACCAGCATGCGCTATTAAATCCAAAACTTTACCAACAACATCTATTTCATCTCCACATTTATTATTTGCTGAATTAAATGAACAATCAACAAATAATAATAATAATAATCGTTCACAAACAATAAAAAAAGAACTTGAACGACAATCACCTATATTAATTCGTCATAATCGTTCGACTATAGAACATGCTTCTCCTATTCAATTAAAGTCAGATGTAGCAAATGTTTCTGGACATAATTTATTATTAACAATTCCACCAAATTTTATATTTCGAAATAAAGTATCACAGGCATTTGTATCGGATAGATCATCACTTAAAATAAATAATCGAATTGCTACACCACATATAAAATCATTAAATTATTCTAAAACAATTAGTGAAAATACTCTTAAACCAATTATATTAAATTCAAAATTAATTCATCAAAATAATTTTCTTCCAATGCATAAATGGACACCAAAATTCCCAGAACAAGGACTTATTCATAATCGAACAGTAAATAATATATATCATCCAAAATCACATTTACCAAGATATTTTATAAAACGTCATTGTCATTCATTACAATCTGAAAGAATAAATACTAATACAAAAATAAATAATATTCAAAATTTATATATTTCACCACGATCATTAAATAATCCACATAATGAATCAGAAATAAAAAAGAAACAACGTCAAAAAAAATTAATTGTTGATGAATGTAAGTTTAATAGTAATTTCAATCAAATATTATTTTGTATTAGTTTATCATATGAAATCTTTAAAGTATTATAAATGATGAAAATTGAAAATGAAGAGAAGTTACTTTGGTTTTTTTCTATATCAAGATTGTAGTCATTCAAATGTATTACCTCATAATTTCAAAGTTTTTTCGATTCAATAAATTCTAATTATAATAAATCTATTAGATATTATTCTATCAAGAGTTTTATTAGTTAACGCATTTAGACATGAGAAGTTTGAGTTTCACAAATATTGGAAACAATATCGATAGGGTAACAATTTTAAATATCAAGAGTTACATAACAACATTAGTTGAGTATGTATAACAAAGAGAATAACGACGTTCATTTGTGACTTTTTTTTTCTGACCAAAATTATAGTTTTTTAATTAAAAGACAATATTTCTTTTCTGATACAATGTGACAAAAAGTTTCCTTTGTAAAAAACGATCTGAAAGAAGTATTGAAGTATACAGGATAGAAATTTGTACCACTTCTCACAGACCGTGCCAGATATTCTTGATATTCGATCAAAGACCGTATGTCAATAACATCTCGTTCTAATATATGAACTACTTTCGTATTGAATTTCTGAAAGATAGTGAAGACATATGTCTGAAAATAGATAGAATAAAGCAATATTCTTGTGATTAGCAAGAACAGCTACATTGAGTTTTACATTTTAATCCTACAGAAACTGCCCTAACATCTTCATGACCTTGTCTATAACGTGATGGAAAATCTTTAGTAAATTCAAAAGCTATCGTTTAGTCATGCGATAGTAGATAACTGAATATCAGTATTTTCAATCATCATTTGCAAAGATCGAATTCTAAGATTTTTGAATGTTAAACATACGTTACTTTTGAATATGTTATTATTATTTTTTTTAACAGGGGACGATCCTAAATGGAGCCATAGTGGTATATCCGATGAAGATGAATCGATTAGTGTTGATGGAAATAGTTCAACATCAACATGTACATCTCAAATTAGTGTTCAACAATATGATAATACATTATCTTCAATTGCTGGTCTATCTGATCAACATGAAACATTCTTATCTTCTAACTTATCTGTTGATAGTTCAAAATCAAAAACTCAACGTCCACCAACCAAAAGAAGCATATCACGACGACGTACATATAATATTGCTCTACCACCTGTTGCTGAACATATTAATGACGAAGAAACAGGTGATGAATTTAATTGACTAAGTTTCATATATATATTTTTTCTTTTTTTTTTTCTTATTTTTTGATTTCTTTTCCTATTCAAAAAAAAACAAAAATAGAATCTATTAATAATATTCATACAGATGATATGAAGAAAATACTTGAAAAACTCTATGCTCTACAAAACAATAATTTCAATGAAAAAAATTTCGAACGATCAATTGATGATGAACATAGTTTAACATTTCAATTATTAAATCAACAAGAAACAGAATTTGAAAAACAATTATCGAAATTTAAAAAAAGTCGAATTTAAATCAAAACAATGTTTAAATCACTTTCTTTATATTCTTTTTTTTCTTCTAATCAAATATATATATACACCTAAGTATACAATTTGGATTGCTACTATAGAACTCGTTCTTTCTTTCTTTCTTTCTTTTTTTTATATAAATCTCACAATACAAATTAATGTTTATTATATTGATATGTTGTTTTTTTGTTTTGTTCTAAACCAAACATTCCCAAAGAAAATAAGTAATTCTTTGTGTAAATGTTTGTATAAATGTTGTACAATCGATATCATTTCGATGTTTAACTAAATAAGATCTCTATAGAAAAATAAGAAAGAAAAAATTTTAATCAATTCAAATAAATATTTTATTTATCTTACTAGAGTATTTTGATCCGATCGATGGATAAGAACAAGAAATGCATCGCATTGATGTGGAGCTTTACATTGAAAGATGACCTTAAAATAAATTATATTTATTATATGGATTGTTTTATTTTTGTTTATTTGTCAATGATTTATTTATTGAGTAAAGGATATTCGAAAGTTTATGATAAACAGATCTATGTACGAATAAAACAAAAAGAAATGTTTGCATCCTAGGTCGATAGATGTCTTTTGTACTCTGCATACAGTGTCATTGATGTTTATCTTTTGAAGTGTTCTAAACGAAAGCTATGGCCCATAAGAGGCAGTCTTCATTCTTATCTTCTTGATTTCATATTTAAATTAGAGATATACAAGATAAGCTTTTATCTTATTCTGTACCCTGACCGGCAAAGGAACGTTTTCAATTAATCAATCGCTTTCTTATGGAATGCTAATGGGTTGTAAGTTATCGACTATGTTGATTTCGAATATAACAATGAGAAACCTCTTTCGGTCTGCATATGTTGGTTTTTCTGACTAACAAAAATTTCGTTAAAATTTTCATTTTGGTCTGTCCAGATTATAAACAATGTCGAATTGCCTAGGAAACAGTAACGTTTTTTTCCGGAAAATCAGCATTTAAAGACCTAAGACGGCTTTTTATGGTCATACTTGTGAGAGACATTTTCTAATCCTTACTCTATCCTACCCTGTATAATCTCTACTCTTACCTTTTCCTAACCTGTCGGATCGGACATACCTGTACATCTCTAATTTAAATAAATACTGCGATTTGTTATTAAATCCAAAAGTTCAATCGTACACGAAGCTTTACAATACAATCTTTAGTCAATTTATCAATTTTACGAAACAAATGATTATAAAACATTTGATATTTTCTAACAGAACAAAAGTTCGTAGACGCGCAATATAAGAGAAAATGATATCAATGACTTCATCTTCATCTGTCCTTATTTTCCTCGTGTCATTTTTTAACTATCATAATGATGAGTAGTAATTATAGATATATGGGTTCATAAACCATAAATTTATTAGAAGCAAGATGATATCTCTAATAATAGGTTTAAAGATTTATTTATTTTTATTCAACATTCACATATTACTCTCTATCAGCTAAAAGAAAATAGAAAACCAAAAGTTTTTTGTTTGTTTTATGCCTAGTAGCATTTGTCACTATTCATAAATATAAAAGAAATATTCTTCTAATATAAAAATCGTTTTAAAAAAAAGAAAACATTTCTCTTCTCACTAGATAATTAATTGTTGGTGAATTAATTGTATGAAATTGTGAACCATATCGTAAACGTAAAAATCGATGTAATCGTTCTAATTGTTCTTTATTAGTAAATACTCGTTGTAATAATGAAGTTATAACTTTTAATTCGATTGTTTCATCACCAATACACGAATCTAATAATGCTTGAAATTCATTTATATGTATTGGTACTATCTAAAAATAAAAATAAAAAATAAAAGATTTTATTACATATATAAAAATAATAAATCACTTCTTGACGTCCGGCTATAGGATTATCAGATCGAGAAGCAATTAATCTTTCCCATAAATTTTCACGACGATGTGATAATGAGGCTTTGTTTAATATAGTTGTTAATTTTAATCTAAACATAAGTTTGTATTTTTTATTTTTGGAATTCGTTGATTTTATCTGTGTTTTTTTATCTTTACTTGAAAAATTCAACATTTCGTTCATTGGGAATATTATTACTAATATGTTGTTCTGAACCAAATGAACTTGATCGAACTGGTATAACAAGATTGGTTTTTATAGATGGTGATAATATAGTTGAAGCACGTTCTCTGGTTTGATTACTATTTGTATTATTTTTTAAACTGTTTGGTATTCGATTATTACCTATTGGAGGTATGGGAAATTTATTTAAAGCTGGTGCACTCATATTTGATGAAATTTGTTGTTTTGGTGTTAAATTTGTATAAATTATATACAAAACAACTGTTAATTCAGAAGGTGATGATGGAGTTGTACGAGCAGCCATCCAATAAGTATCTTTGAGATCACAATCAAATAGATATTCATCCTAATATTTTAAAGATAAAAGATTATTGTTATTAATGAAAAGAAATATTTGAAAAGTTCAATTTTTTTTTTAATCTAATTTTCATGTTATTTCTTTTTTCAGATCAGCCCAATCAATGGTCTGTTAGTGTTACTTAATTCATTGGATTTCAAACAAGATACAAATTTTTTATTAGAGATAGGTAGAGCGTTGAGATGTGCGAGACCAAGTTTTTTTTTTTAATAGTCTTGGTCCTGATTTTGAAAAAACTATTTCGGAATTTATTTCGTATTAAATCTAAATGTGTTCTAAATGCTCCTATTTTGATTAATTCAACTAACGAATGTCACGTTTTTTTCGATCATCCCTCTTGACTAATGTGATTTGTAATATAATTCGCTAAAAATCATAGAAAATTTGACTTCAGTTTTTAGCTTCGATTCTAACAGCTTTCTTATCGTAATCTCAACCTAAGTTACCAAGAGTAAAACTTGTTCAGCACATTTCTACCGATGTAGACAAGAAGTTCGGACAACTCATTAAAATGTCCTAATCGCAGTTCGGGTTTGTCACTTCAATTCAAAAAATACCAAAGCCAGTCACTTTCATCATAAAAGTTGCGTGAAGATACTTAAAAAAGGCAACGTTAGCATTTGAAAAACGTGAAAACATTTTTTTCCACAATATTTTTATATTTTTTTTATGCGTAATGTATATCAAAAATATAGTGAGCAAACTTTTTGAACATATTTCAGATGAAAAAGTTGCCATTTTAACTATATCCATGGAACTTTTATGATGAAAATGATGGGTTTTGGTATTTTGTGAATAGACTTGATAAATGCTCAAATGAGAACCCTAATCCGAGCATTTATATGCGTTTTCTATTTTAATTATTATAATTCCTTTTTTTTCACATGGACGAAACTATTTGTATTGTCTGAATTCATACAGCTGATTTATCATTTTTAGAAAGAAAAAAAATAGATTTAGGATAATTAATATAGATAATACTTAACAAAGAGCATAATGCGATACAAGATTTTAAGAAAATTGTAAACAATACCGTAATTCTTAATCTTTCGTTTAAATTTTATAGAATTCTAACCAAGCTAATTCGAATTTCATATGCCTTACTCCTAGAGTTTAATAGACATAAAGTTTTGTACAGTGTTGTTTTTTCTTGTACCAAATTTGAAAAAGTTCTATTTTCATAATTGAATTCGTTTAAACATTTCTTTCATAAGAATCAATCTAGTCAAATAATTCTTATGTTAACGAAACTAACTGTGAAAAGTTTTATCTATAGTCTATTGCTTCTATTACATATGGATATTGCCAAGGGGAAACAGTAGTCATGAAGTCTACTGTTTCCCCATCGGATATTTCATGGATAGAAGAAAAAAAACAAAATCAATTATATTTTAATAAAAAAAAAATTTTTTTTTCTATTTATTTTCTTCAATAAACTTACACAATTTCTTTTTGCAATTTGAATATTATATGCACCTGCATGGTCAAGGATATATTTAAATAAAAAAGCATCCGCTGAACGTTTATTAATATCAATTTGATGATGAATAACAGCTACACAAAAAAAAAAAAAACAAAAAGAAATTGTTTGCGTTTTTTTTTTCAAATATAAAATAAAATTTACTTTTAAATAATGCAGTTTTTGATCCAATTGGTGCATGTGGATAATATTCAATAAAATCTTGTAAAAATGTAATTAATGAAAAATCTGCTGGAAATATATGTGCATCATTTGAATTTGTTTGATAACGAATTATTGTTTGAAGATGAAAATCATAAACAAATGCATCAAGTTCTGTTTGTTCAAGCATTAAAAATGAATCATTTGAAATCTAATTTAAAATAGACAACACAAATTAAGTCTTTTGATTAAAGAAAATTAATTGATTTTTTTCTTATACTTGTCGAAAATGAGTTGTTGCTAATGATTGATTATTTATTGGTATTTTAATAATATCATATTGAAGAAAACGCATAACAATTTGAACATTATTTAATGATGATAATTCAGCAAGTAAAGTTGCACGTCGATTATGATCAGAACGATGAAAATTATATTCATTTGATGATTGAACATGTAATGAACGAGCAATTCTTAAAATGTCGATAAAATGAATTTAGAACAAAAACTTTTTCTTTCTTTTTTTTCTTTTACTTTCGAGTACTTAATTTTGTATTTATTGGATGAAATTTATATGTTGTTTGTAAATAATTAGAAAATTGTTCGATAAATAATGTAGTTATTTGAATATATTGTTGTTCAATATTATTGAAACGACTTGTATCAAAGCGTGTTAATTGATTTTGAGCAATCTGATAATCACTCTAAATAAAATAAAAATTAACAAATTCTTTTTTGTATTATTATCATTATTGTTTATTATTAAGTAAGCTTTAATAGCAGCTGTCAAATAAAATATGTGTACTTCTGATTTTGTTTAACAGATAGAATAGTGATGTTAAAAAAAAAGTAATCATTGAAAAAAGTATGAATAAAAAAAACAACTCAAGACGCATTTCAACAAGCAAATTTTTATCGATTATAAGAAAAATATTCATTGATCTATATATATCTAGAATATCTCCTCTATAGGGTGTCCGGAAAGTCCTTAGAGTTAGGAAAATTTGCATATCTCCTTTACGGCTCGACCAAACAAGCTCATTTTTTTATCAAAGATAGAGGCATGTTCACACTCCAAATCCATATCGATAAGGGTATTGAGAATCTTTGTTAAGTATCACTATTGATCTCAACAAGAAAATTTTACTGTTTCACAGTTAGCAAAAAAATAATATACAGGATAGGGCAAACAACACTTTATTGAAAAGACAATTGACTATCTCCATTATGGCTTGAGCAAACCAGCTGATATTTTTATCAAGGATAGAGGCATAATTCACACTCCAAATCCATACTGACAAGGTTAGTGAAAATCTTTGTTAAGTATATAGTTTTTTTCCTCTCTATGAAACAGTAAAATTTTCTTGTTGAGATCAATAGTGATACTTAACAAAGATTCTCAATACCCTTATCGATATGGATTTGGAGTGTGAACATGCCTCTATCTTTGATAAAAAAATCAGCTCATTTGGTCGAGTCGTAAAGGAGATATGGAAATTTTCCCAACTCTAAGGACTTTCGGAACACCCTATATATAATATCGATATCCATAATGAAACCATATACCAGTAGAAATAATAATGGAAGAAATGAAATAAGAAAGAAACCAAGACAAAAGAAATGTTAAAAACTATTATAGATAAAGTTAGTAGTCCACACCAGTCAACAAAGACCGAAATATTATGATGTATAAACCTCATAATAAATGTGAATTATTACTATAAAATGAATGTGGATTGTGTAAAATATATCGATGCTTATATGTATATATATATATATATATATATATATATATTATGTGAATTAGGAGAAGGGACACACGAGTAGCGGCGACATGTGAAAAAAATGAAGAAACCTCATTAACCGATTGCACAGATCGGCGTAAAGCAAAATCGACAGGAATCGCAACAGATTTTCGTTTATTTGCCATGCGATTAGCCGGTAAAACTTCAACTGCTGCTGCTGGTGTGGATGTACCCTGAAAGCATAGATATGGAACATTAACATTGCGCATTCGCAAAATTTTTACAAAATAAACTTAAATTATTGTAGAAAAATTAAAAAAAGAGAATTTCTATATAATATTCAAAAATAAAAAGAAAAAATACAAAAAATAAAAATAGCAAGAAATAAAATTAAAGAAAATGAATTAAATAATTACTCACCAAACAAGGTGTATTATTTGTACGTAATGTTGAATTATTTTGAAAAAATTGTCGAGCAATCCGAGAAAAAAGTATAGGTGCAACACTTATTGTTAATAATCGTGAACGATGTTTCATTTGAGTTAATACATCATCCTTTAATATTAAAAAAAAAAAAAAGAAACAAGAATGTATTTTATATGTAAATAATAAAATTTATTGATTTTTTTTTATCAACTAACTGCAATAAATAATTTTGGTCGAAGTATCCAATTTGAACATATTTCTTCTAGTTTAGTACATCGATCCATATCTAGATCATTATACAAAAAATAAAATTTCATTTTTATTATTGTTGATTGAAAATAAGTAGGATGCTTTAATTGATAAAATAGATTATTGAATTTTAAAAATTACTTTTCTCGATAAAGATTTATAAGCTATGAAATTATTTTGATATTAATTTCAATAGAGAGTTGAATAGATTTTGGTTTTGAGTTTAGAATATTTTTTTACTTTTTGGTTGACTTGTTTTATATTATATTTAATCGGATTGAGAAATATAGCTAACATCTAATAAGTAGAAATGTAAGTCAATGCATTGATTGACAGCGGCAGAAAGTTTTCGATGGTTTTTTTTTCAAAAATTTTGAAATAAAAATGATGATGGAGAATATATTGATAAGATATTAAATAAAAGAATCTCTAAAAACTGATCTTGGATGTCAAAAATCAATTATTCAGTTTTATGTTATGACAGCAGCGTGATCGGCTTACACCTCTACTAATCATGATGATTTTCCCATTATTCAAACGTCTGAGGACTATAGCTACTTATGAAACGATAAAGTCATAATAAACATATTGTAACATCTGGTTACTCGAAACTTCAACTGTTTTTATCAGAAAACGTTTGAATAATGGAAAAATCGGTTATTATCATAGAACTATTTCTCAGTAAATGGCTTCATAATAATATCTGAAGTAAAAACTATTTGAACGTAATAACGGTTAAAGTTTTTACAAATTAAATTAACCATACACAGAGTTTTTGATTGTTTTTGAGAATGGGAGAAGCTGAAAATTTGATAGAATCTGTCAGAATTAGAGCTAAAACTTTCGTTCCACTATTATTTCCTCTCTCTCAGCTGCAACCGTATCCATAAATGTCTTACAAAATACAAAAGACTAATCTAGATTTTCTCTGCCGACAAATGAACACATAGTTCCCCAATATACTGATCATAAATCTTTAAAAAAATATATCATTTTTTCAGCTTCCATAATGATTACAACACTGTAAGAATGTCGTGAATGTTTTCGATGAATTTTTTTATTCTCTATTGATACAATATATTCTAATTTTGGAGTAATTGGATGAATTAAACTAATCAAAGACATACGAATTTTTTTATTTTCTTTAAGTTGAAGTAATTGTGTTCCATGTCGTTGAACAAGATCTTGACTTAAATCATTTGGTAATAGTGGATATGAACCAACTAAATTACAATAAAGTAAATCAATATTCCATGATGTATAAGTATTTCTTGTTTTTGGTGGTAAAGTTTCTTTAATTAATTGTTCAAGATCAACATGATCACTTTTTATAGGATGCTAAAAACAAAAAAAAAACAATAATGATGTATTTCAACAAAAAAAAAAAAGAACTGACTTTATTCGTTGTTCCATGTTGTCCATGAGGACGATTATAATCTGAATGTTGATCAGAATGAAATGATCGATAACGAAAAAGACCCATTTTTTGTGTTACAATTATACTTAAAACATTTAAACGTTTATTTGACCAATTAATTATATTTGAAAAATGATTTGTTAATAATTTAGATAATTCATCAGGTGCATTATATAAAATCATTGTTAACTAAATATTAAATACAAAACAAAAAAAACAATTAATATGAATCTCAAATTCTTTATTCGAATGTTTGTTTTTTTTACTTTTTTATCACTTGCAACAATACATAGAAATATATGTTTAGGAATATCGGAACTATTTGCTAATGCCACTAAGAAAAAAAAAATATACAAAAGAATTGTTTTGTTTTTTCCTATACATGAAATAATTTTTTTTTTTTGTGACTTACTTGCATCACCAGATTCTTGTTGAGGTAATGTTTCATTACTTTCCGTAACTACATCATTAATCATTTTAGTACTTTGATATAATACAATAAGATCAAGTTTATCACCAGGAATACGTGTTGGCTAAAAACAAAAGAAATATTACATTCAACGGTACTTTCTCTCCGTTTCCTAGGTTTCTGGAGAACTGATTCATGAGAAAAATTTGAAATTTTTAGGAGCAAACAGATCTTGACGAGTAGAACAAAAGTTGTAATAAACTCAAAATTCCTGAATGCTGTCTTATATGAGATACTTGAATTACAATGACAAAAGATGGCCTCCCCGTTTCTTCACGACTGTTCTTCAAGTAAAAAAAGTCAAAATATCGGAAGTATCCTAAACAACGTAAGAGTTACCAAAAATCAACACCATAATATTTTTTGAAACAAAACAAAAATACCCATTCCAAATAGCAGATGATATATGCGAGAAAAAAAATTTTAGTCGATCGAACATACTAGGTAGGTGAAACGAGAGCGTTTCTGAACTTTTTTCATGAAAAAAGTTGGTTTGAAGAAAAATGAGATTCGCTATTTCCGTTACGTAAATTTAATTTCTTTGTCGAATTTTTTATGGTGTTTAAAGAAAATTTTTGTACTCAGTAGATAGATACCACTTCAGATGATGTAATAGCCCCACCCAAAAACCATTCAAATAGATAACTATTTTAATTTTAATCTAAAAAAAAAACCGGATTCTTAATTACATACCATGTGATCTAATGATGGTACTGGTAAATATAAAGTTTGTTCTTGATTACAACGAAATATCATTCCATGTAATGATTCATGTTTATATGCTATAATTTTTTGTTCATGAAGCCATGATGTAAAATTATGTATAATATCTATAACAAGTATTCGATTAGTTAATGTATAAGAACTACAGGTTACAGATGGAAGTTTTGGATCTAAAAAAAAACAAAAAATTAAATAATTATCAAGAAGAAACTTTTAAATAATCTTACAATTTGTACTTAAATATTGAAACCATACTGTTAAACGATTAGCATGTTCAACTGTAAGTGATTGTGGTTCATCAGTTGATGAATTACTTAATATTGAACTTTGAACTGATTCTTGACGCTATTTAAAATAAACAAAAAAAAAAGATAAACAAAAATATTAATGATATAAATTAATTTTTAAAAAAATCATAGCAAAGTAATGAATGTAGTGTAAAAAAAAATAAGGAATTGATGTTGGTTTGATATTTAAGGAAAAGCATTGTTTGTCTAGTTAACCAAAGATAAATGAATCCCGAAGCAAAAAGGTTTCATATATATACATATATACAGATTTATATAAATATATGTAGCTGTTAGTGAAAAAGGAATAAATATGGATAAACCTGTAGTTTGACAGGTGAATGTGGACCAACAGGTTTGTTTCCTTTATTGAAAATATTAAATATACCACCAGTACTATTCGTCGAATGCTAGAATAATATATTTGACTCTAATCAACTTTACAAATTTATATATATTGGACATAATAAATGATCATTAAAATTTGTATAAAACAAATACAATAATTACAATACATTATTTAAACTTACACGTCTCGATTGTACTGTTGCCATTGTTGTAGCTGTATCAACACTATGTGTACGTGCAGCTTCTGTATTTCGATCAAGAGCAAAACCTAAAAACAAAAGATAAATTAAATTACAAAAGCTGCGAGCACAATCTCTATAGGATTAAAATGGGAAACACGATGTAGTTGCTATTACTAATTATAGAAATATTATTTTATTCTATGTATCTTGGGAGACATTTCTTCATTCGTCTTTTATTTAATCATCCAGAAACGCATTGAACAAGGTGTTAATATATTGTAACGAGCCGCTATTGATATACAGTCTGCGATTGTATATCAACAACGTCTATCGGGTCCGAAAATTTTCAAATCCAGACTCGATCAAACCGTATTTTGATACTTTCAATGAAGTTTTTTAACCGAAATTGGATAATCGCCCTGAATGTACGAGATACTTTTTTCCGGTTATTTTTATTCGGTCACTAGGGCACTCAGCACATTCCACCAATGACTAGACCCGTTGAGTCCAAAACTTTGCGGACCCGACGGATTCTAATGGGAGGTAGAAATTTCGACCTTTTATATTTCAACACTTCTTTTAGTTCGTGTTTCACAAAAAGTCAAATCAAAATATTTACTTGATTCATCCACAAATCTAATTGTATTTACTGAACGAGGTGATGGTGACGGTGGTTCGAACTGTCCATGTCTTTGATTATTATAAAATGTTGGTAAAAGTTTAAGTTCAGTAACATAATCAGCTAATGCAAATGTAAATGCTTGTAATAATGTACTTGACATAATTGTTGGATCAATTTCGGATTGACTACCACGTGCCCAAACATGACAACGTAGAATATTTTCAGATGAATCTATTTAAAAATAATTTTTATTTTTATTGAATGAAAAAAAATCAATTAAATTCAACGAACTATCTTCACTTGTTATACTTATTGAAGAAGAAGGTTTTCGTTCAACAATATGAATTAAATCAATAAGTGATTTAACAGTTACTTCATCAGATAAATCTTCCATTGATAAAGGACTTGGACGATTACTTGGATTTAATACATGTAATTCAATCCATGCAAGACCTCAAATTAAAAAAAAATTTTTTTTTAATATTTGTCTTTTGTTTTTTTGATATAATTACCTGGTCGAGGAATTCCAATATTATATGTACGATTATAAACAATTAATGTTTGTCCACGATAATCTTTTATTATTTCCTAATTTTATTAAAACAAAAAAAAATTCATAATTTCAAGTTCTTTTTTTCTATTATTTTATTTTATTTTTTTGTTTTACTTTAAGATCTTTAGCAAGTACAGGTAATAGAAGAGGTTGATGAAATTGATTTGTTTTAACATAACGTCGAAAATAATATAAAAATGTAGTTGTATTAATTAATGGTGAAATTTTATATTCAAATATATGTTTTGGTTCACTATCAACAGGTCGAATGAACTAATTAAACAAGCATGTTGATTAGTTATTTCCTTGTTTTTTTTCTTAATTTTAATTAAATAAATAAAATACTTACAGTAACATCATCAGGATTTAAACGTGTCATTGCAAAATGATATAAAGCATTGACAAGTTCTTTAACAACTTCATCTTCTAATCGAGTGACAATCGATTGAACAAGATTAGTTTTTACAGATTCAAATAGAGAATCAGTAGCTAACAGATGATTAAATATTTATGCAAGAAATTAAAATAAAAAAAAAAAACTTACTAGCAGATTGTAATCCATAGAGCATTACATGAATACAAAAATTACCCTAATATAAACAAAATTTAAATTAATAATCAATTGAGAAATTTCTAGATTAATGTTTTTTTTTTTCGTTAAGATTTGATGATATTATTATATTAAAAAAAAACAAAAGAAAACTATTTTTACTAATTTCTAACAAATTTATAATAATATCAATAAGATATAAACGCCAAAAATTATACTTGAATGAGTATGAGATTATTATATATTATAGTTAGTATACATTGTCTAAGGTTTGTATGAGACTTTAAATAATTAACAAATATTCTATTATTAGAATTTAAAACAAAATTCAGTATATTCTGCATGGATTATTATAACTGTATGTCTTTATAGATAGATCAATTTTAATTTGATTTGAATATATATTTATTTATGTTTAATCATCACTGTATGATATTTTTCGTAGGATCTATATATGATTATCTATGGTGGAATTTATTTACAATACTAAGATGAGAATCATCATAGAAAATATTTTTCAAAATAATTAAAGAGAAGACTTTGTCTATCAGAAAATCATTGATTTAATGCATAGTCGTCATCAGGGTGATAGTAGATCACTGGTCTATCGTCTATGAATGTACCATCTACTGGTGGTAATGCTTTTGGCATCATTCAGTTATCATAGCTGAAATCCGTCTGCATAATGCAAAATAATCGGTCTCGTCGTAAGTTTCTCACATGTTTATTCACTTTTGCTGATTTCTATGGTGATGATTGAAAGTGTATTTCTACAAAAGTGAGCGATAGATCCCTTATCTGCATGTATTATATGCAAGCATGTCCCAAATGGGAAAGGTCGAGACGGTGACTCACTTCCAATCTTGAAAAATTTTTGTTTTTCTCCAGCAAAGTTTCAGCATTTTATTGTTTATCATTCTCATCGATTCTCAAAATATGTTTCAACCTTAACTGAAATTTTTCAATCGGTCTTCTTAGTCATCAATCTCCCTAATTCTGGCGATCTTGGAACATCTCTAGTTATATGTAATCAAAAGATATATTTTTTCCATATTCTTGATCGTATACTCTGGTAATTCAACTATTCTTATTCTTTTAAAAAATGCTACCTATGATCATTACAATTTATAACCTTTAATATTTCTATAATTATTTTATAGCAAAAACTTTTCATTATTGTTTCTATAATTTCATTCGTGTATATATATATATAAGGTCCAAAAGTAAAATTTTAGTTTAAATCATATAAAAATTTCTTACTGAACCATGTCGTTGACGATTTTTCATAGCATTATTGAATGTTGCATTACTTTGATTAGGCATTTGTGGTGATGGTGGTGCACAAAATGTATTATTACTGTCACTAAGTAATAAAGAATCTTCAATATAATTAGCTGTTGGTGGTGGAAGAGTATCTTCTCGAAATCTCATATAATAATAACTACGTTCACCACAATAAACAAATAAATTTTTTCTATTATGTACAGCTAATGAACCAAAATGTGTTGTTAATTCACGTATAAGTGAACCTAAGATTATTTAAAAACAAAAAAAAAAGAAGAAGATTTTTTTTGTCTTAATTTTTAATTATGATCGAATGAAAAAAAAAATTTTTTTTTACCAGGATAAAAAACAGATGATGGTTTTAAACTTGATGTTGCATGAAGATGTGGACGAAGACGAAAATGAAGTGGAAATGAATGTCTCCATAATTCATCACAAGCAAACTTTATTGAATGATATCAATTTTAGATGAAATAAAAACAAACAGAAATTCTTACTGTTCCAGGTGGTATACTTAAATTAGCTGTTAAAACTGGTGCATCAGCATCAAGACTTGTATCATCATTTTCACTTGGTGGCACTAATAATGCATTACATAATCCACTTATTCCTAGATCACGTAATAATAATTTCTATATAAAATATAAAGAATATAAAAACAACAACAAATAAAAATCGAAAATAATCAAACTTGATTAATTATACGACATAATCGATTAAATTCATTAATTAATTCTTCTAATATTGCTTGAGGCTCACAAGAATTTTGTGTTATATCAGATGATGATCTATATAATAAAGAAGATATTTTTGCAAAAAAAGCAAAAATAATAGTTGCACAAAAATAAATGTTCTTCATAGTATTCTTTTTGTATCTTGGTCAATCTTTAATTATGCAGATTTGAACTTGTTTTATCCGAAAAGATACACTATTCTATTTTGAATAAAAATGCATCAAAGGTTTTTTCTTGAGCAAGAAATTTCTAAGTTATACATAACGAAACAACTGTTAGAGAGTTATTAAGTGCTAAAATTTCGTTGAAATCGAACTGAAGATTAAGTGAGATAATTAAAAAAAATACTATAAGAAACATGTATTCTGATGTATTCATTTGTATATATCTATGCATCTTTCCTTTTTTCGTACCCGCAATAAAGATAAAATTTCACTTCAAGTAAATCTACGTGAGATGACGTTTTCTTTTTTCGTTCAATAAAAAGCCAAAATGATGGTTTCATATAATCATCAAGTTCATCTTCAGTAGATTTTCTTTCATCATCATCATCTATTAATGAACCATCAGAAATTGAACTATCTTCCATAGCAGCTGATGATTGATCATCACTTGAATTCACTGATAAAGCTTTTTTTTTTTTAAAATGAAAAAAAAAATAAATAAACAATTAAATTAATTTCATTCGTATTATTTAATCAAATCTAACCTGGTTTACGTTTTAGATTAATATCATTAAAATTTTGTTGACTTGGTTCAAGTAAAACAAAATAATTTCCACATTTCGTTAGAATATATTTGTTTCGAATACGAATATTTTTTAATTCCTAATTTTAGAGAAAACAAAAAAAAACAGCTTTTTTGTTTTTCTTTTTTTGTTATAAAATATTTTACTTCAAGAAATGGATCAATAGATTTATCAATACCAACTACGAACATAAGATCAATTGAACGACAAAGACAATTTGATTTATGAATATTAACTGAACTTTGAACATGTTCAATAACATTTTCAATTAATCTTCTATCGAGTGTACGACGAGTAAAATATGTTGAAAGTTGTTCATCACGTAAAAGCCATTCGATCTAAAATTCAAATTTTTTTTTTTGTTTTTGAAAAATATTTCATTTCAATGATATTTTTTTTTTCGATTCATAGGAAATAATTATTGTCAAAGTAATTGTATGGTCAAAAATTTATATCAAAAATCACTTTTGAGATAAATCTTACTTTATCAACGCTCAAAGACTAAAACGATGTGTACTTATAGATCTGTTTTTTTTTTCAGTGATGACTATTTTAATGAATTTTTCAATGAAATGCTTTGCTTATTCCCTTCAGATCTTCTTTATGTTCAGATAGGAGACATTTTACAATCTCATACTTTTACAATGAACGAATTCCATCAAGAACTTTATCTGTGAAAAAAATTGAAGTTGAAATCTGAAAGGAAAGTTGAAGTTTGAGAGTGATCTGAAACGGATCAAGACAGTTTGTTCAAAAATTCACTATCATAATCATGACGAAACAAGAAAGATCTAACCCTACAAATCTTTTTAGTCTTTCTCGAGTCTCAGTAGAGCATATCTAATGAGATAAGGCTTAGTTTTAAAACGATTTGTTACTTGGCAAAATTCTTTCGTAAAATGATCATGAAGTTTATAGCGATTTCATGAGTTAAAATTGACTAAATGTATTGTGTAGTTCTCTTTAAATTATTCTATAAATCAACTAAATAGTTTTTTTCCTTAACTAACATTCATAACTTTTCAAAAAAATTCTTTGACTTTCTTCGAAAGAAATATAACTGTAATACACTCTCCATTATATAAACACTAGTCTATCAATATCATTCGTCGTTTTACTATATTTAATCAATCAATATTCAATTCTGATGTCTTATTTTGTTAATATTTCTAATCAATCGATTAAATTTAATTCTTACAAACCTCTCGTCGACATGATGAAATTGCACGTCGTTGTGCATCAGATAATCGAAGTTTATCCAATGGATGTCTATAAATATTTTATAATATAAATAAAATATTTCTCTTTTTTTAATCTTTAAACAACTTACTTATTTAATTCTCCACCCATAGTTGTGCCTGTACAAGTACTTGTATTATCAATAGCTTCAATAGCATTTAATTCTTGATATCGTTTTGCTGACATAAATAGATTATTAAATGTCGGTGTATTCGTTGTAATACCACCAATACTAGCACCTTGTGAATCAACATCTTCACGTCCAAATGTTAAACAAATTAAACCAAATGAAACACGTGCACTATCATAATCTAATTTCGTTTCATTTCCATTTGGAACTAAATTACCTTGACAAAAAAAAAAATTAAAGAAAAATTAAATAAATTTAATTAAATACATGCATATTTTTTTCTTACTTATACATAGTGGAATAGTTTTAACTGGTGTATTATAATCATAATCTTTTGTAACTAATCGACAATCAAAAAAAATAAATAATGGTAAAATTTCACCTCGTACACCTAATTCTCTTGAACGATTTGATAATGAACTTGCTGATTCATCAGAACGACGACGATTTGTTTCTGATTGTAATTCTGGATCATCATCATCAACATCATCATCATGATCATGTATATGAACAGTTCCATTACTATCTCGATCATCATCATTATCACTTTCATGATCATATCCATTTGTTTCATCAAATTTATATGGTCCTGATGTTGATTGTAATTCATTATTATTATTATTATTATTGATATTATTACTATTGTTATTATTTTTTAAATGATCTTCTATTTCATTTGAATTACGACTTTGTCGAAAACGTTCTTCATCAGTACAAAAATAAAAATATTCCGAATCGGGTGATACACGATGAAAATATTTATGAATTATTTCAAGAAATTTTTCATTTAAATAAGAATTAATATGTTTTGTTGTTGGTTCACAAAGAGTATCAGATTCCAATGATCTTTAAAAAACAGAAAAAAAAATTGTTTTTTTTTTTTTTTCAAAATTACACTTTTTCTTTTATTACTTTTGTTCATTATTTGATAAATGTGAACACATTGCTTTAAGAAATGGTGTTAAATCAATATCTTCATAATGTTCTTGATAGATTGTATTTAATGCATATTCAACATCAGATCTATGTGTTGTTAAATCAAGTAAACAATTTTTATAAAATGCTAAACAAAAAAAAACAACCAAATCAAATACTTTAAAATGATAATAACAAAAGATTTTTACCTGTTGCAAAAGCATAATCAAGTGCATCACGCATATCTTCAATTAATTTTTCAGAAGGAAATACTGTCTCATCATCATGTCGACGAGAATTATCTAATAAAAAGAAATTATATTATTAATTTATCATACAAAAATTCAATGAAGATGTACAAAACTAAGTTTTTTAGTTAATGTAATATCAATAAAATATTTTTTTTTCTTTTGATGTAATTTACTTAATTGTTTTAATTTTCATACTATTCATTAAATATAAAGGATTATATGAATATATTTGTATCGATATAAACTTGGTTAAGAAAATGAGATTTAATTTTTCTAAATCGACCAACAGAAATTGTTCCAGATTTTCGAATTAAACAATGAATACATTTTACATAAAATACTAAGGCGGTGGAAAAAACTTTTACAACAATGTATTTTCAATGTTTTTTTTCTATAATATTAAGTCATTAGCTCAAATCCAGACAATGATTTTAATAGCTAATAGAGTTTTCTATACTATGATGTCATGGATGCATGATGATGGTAAGGTTTCTAAAAGACCGTCATAGAAGACTTTGTTGGAACTATTTTTTTACAATATCATTTTAAAGAGAACAAAATGAAGGATCGTCGCATTTTCTACAACTTTTCCTTAAAAAGTTAAAAGTACCACAAACACGAAATTTAGCAAAAAATTGACTACAAAACGTCGCTTTTCGGTTTTTGTGACACTTTTAACATATTAAGGAAAGATCGTAGAAAATGCAGCGACCCCCTCCCTCCCCCATTTTGTTCTCTTTAATATAGTATTGTTAAAAGTTAACTGTGACAAAGTCTTCTAGCGTCTGAAAACTACCGCCTCTGGTTTTTTTAGAGCTTTGTCATCAAAGTTCATATATCTTACTATAGAATGCATTTCATAAAAAACTCTATAGACTATTAAAATTCCTATTTGGATTCGTGCTAATTGCTTAACATTATAGAAAAATATTAAAAAAGAAAAACATTGTTGTTAAACTTTTTTCCACAATGTTAGTTTTGTGGAAACTGATAAATGTTCATTTTGATCTTTTATTTGACACTAGCCATTTAACTAGTGAAAGTATTTGATATACACTAACTAAACGATTTTAAATGAGTCATAAAACATAAATACGTTATATGAAAAATGCAAAATAACCTATTACGCATTAAAAAAAGATTTTCATTCTGTAGTAATATTTATTTTTTTATCTTTCTCCATTTAAAATCATTTATTCAATGTATACTTTCACTAGTTCTAAATGGCTAATAATAAATAAAAGATCAAAATGAGCACTTATCATTATCAGTTTCTACTAGACTATATTTTATTTAAAATGCATCCATTACTTAATTAGAAAATCTAAAAAAATTCTTTCAATCTTATGTCATTTGACATGTCGATATGAATACACTTAACATTTATATGAATATATTGTATTAGAAATCATTTTTCTATCTACATATAAACGAAATTGTTCAAAATTAAAAATCTTCTGAAACACTTTTTAGTTCTGAACAATAGTCATTCTCATTCTATTTTGTTTTTTTTTTCTTTTATGTAAAATTCAAGTAGAACGTGTCGTAACAGTAAAAAAATAAAGTACGAATTTAACTGAAAATTTACTTAAGCAAATTAAATTAATTTCTAAATTTTCTTTATCTTTCTTAGATAATCTATATTTAGATCACTACTAAAAATAAGATTTAATATATTCCTTTCTGATTATACCTCGTTTTCGAGGTTTTAAATTTTGTAATACTGTTGCATTTGTTGTTATTGTTTCATTTGTTGATTCATTATCATCTTTTGTATAATCAATATAAGTATCCAACCAAAGATTTCTTAATTGTTGTTCATTAGATACAAGTAATGACGATGCTAAACGTAATTTATTACAACCATGTAAAAATATTGGAATATGCCATTGTTGATCGGTAATTTTTTTCAAAGCATCACGTGGTAATATTTCTTGTGATGATGGTGGAATAACATTAAATATAGATGGAACTTGAAGATTATGATGATGAACAGGTGTTGATACAACAGCCGATGTAGAATAACGACGATGTAATTGATCAACATGTGATATATTATTTGGATCAAGTGTTAATGGAGAATATATACGACGATAACCAGTAGATGTCGGTTGAGAAGCTGATTGGTAAAAATGGTGAGAGAGAGGATGATTTATAGGAATTGGTGATGAAGACGGTATACTTTTACCATTGATATATGTTGAATGTGTAGGATGAGGTGCTAATAATTCAGCTCCAGTAAATGTATCTCGACGTTGACGACGTCGTTGAGAATATTTACCTAAATAAATAAACTATTATTTTTATAAAATATCATTCGAAATTCTATGTTATGATTAATCCAAGAATTTCTAATATGAAACAATTGAAAAATTTCAAGTATATATGAAAACAAGTTTTATCAATATTGAAGAAAATGCTATTGAAAAAAATTTTGAAGTAATGAGCAAATAGTATGTTTTTTTTTTATTATTTCTGTTCAATTCGACATGCATGTACATTTTTACAATACAAGATAGAAACGTGAAGATTAAGCTTTTGTCGTACTTTGTACTATGACTAAGAAAAATGTTCTAACCTTTATCTTACCCTAGAAAGTTTTTATCTCACTCTTTCTTAATCCTACCTTAATTGGAAGACTCTAAAAGTGATAAATAGCAAAACAATATCACATAGAGAATGTACTGGGTAAGATTTTTTTTCGTACTTTGTATTCTGTCTGAGTGAAATTTTTCTAATCTCTATCCTGTAGGGTAGGATAAATTTGTTGATCTCAGATACAAGAATACAATATATTTTTCTTGAGAATGAGATTTTATCAAATCATATCTACAATTTACTAGAACTGCTCGAATGTATTTCTTATATTGAAAGTTGAAATTATTCAATAATAACAATGATTTCATTTATTTACGAACTTGTTTGTTCTTCATTAACTTTATTCTGTGAATTTTCCATTGTAGATAATAATAATGATGATTCAATAACAATATGACTTTCAAGATCATCAATTAACGTATCCATAACATAACGACAATCATCATAAATAGGTATTCCCTTATCAATATGATTCATTGAATAATGAGCAATAAGATCATGCATAAATATATTTAAATCTGTATTTAATAAAAGTAAATCACGTTCACTTTTTGGTAATAATATCATATAAACATATTCATCACTTTCAGCACAAACAAGAAAATCCCAATGTGGAAATAACATATCCATAAGATAACGTTCAAGATCAGTTAATATTTTTGTTGTTTGTTGTTCATTATAATTAAGTAAATAAAGTAAATATGGATTTGATTTTAAACTACTTAAACCAATTGGTAAATGATGATTTTTCAAATGATTTGATCGTGATATTAATGTACGTGTAAATGCATTATTATTACCATTAAGTTCAGTAAATAAATGTGGTTTATTTTCATATGTTTTTGAACAAAGACGTTCACGAAGTACACTAAGTAATGTTGAATTAAGACTTGGTGATACCAATAAACCATTGTTATTGATATAATCATGTTTTATTTTATAATAATCTAAATAGAAAAGAAAACAAGAGAATATTTAATAAATTTGTATGTTTTTTATTTCTTTTACCATCAATAAAAGCAGAAAAATCAAAATGAGTTTGATGTGAACGACGTATAAGATTAATTGTATCTTGAACAAATGGTACTCGAACTATATCAGATGTTATCGCTCGTGGTGCACGTAATATAGGTCTATTTAAACAAAAAAAACAATTATATTTAAAAAAAAACGAAATGAATTTCATTGAAAAAAAAACAACGAATTTACCTTGACAAAGATAAACTTCGTTCTTGTAAATATTTGACAAAATAAAATGAAACAAGTGTATTGAAACATTCTCGATCAACTTCACCAATCTAAATATTTCATAGAAATTTACTTGAATATTATAAAATAGATTTGTCTAATAAAAATGTAAAATAAAACTTCGATTATATTTATGATCTATCAGATTTCTTATGTTGATAAAATGATGTCTGAAGTGTATATAGTTAGATTTGATCAATCAAAATAATCGTTAGTATTTTTTTTTTTTTTTGCTATCAACAATAACGAAAGAGACACATGTCTATATAGAATAGTTTAATACAGATTAAAATACTTTGCATATTGAAAGAATTATTTGAAAAATTAAACTTCGACAAGACTTAAGAATTCGATAATGTTCTTTTTATTGAATCTTTTTCTTTATTCATTTTCATAGAATATCCTTTCAATCATCTATCAATTTTATCTTCTATTAATAGAAGTATTAGTAAATAAATCTTACTTAATTCAGATCAATGAAAATTTCTCTTTCAAATATTTGACTTTATAAATTAAGAAGCCATAAAAAAATATAATCTGCTAATATTATTTAATAAATTATTTATTTTTTACAAAACAAAAAAAAAAAAGAAATACTTTAAACTAAATTCTATTAAAAATTAAAATAAAACAAATTTTCAATTGAATTATGCTTTATATTTCGTTTGATTATATTGATATTTACAGATAAAAGATTCTTTTTTTTTTATATGTAATAATACTAAAATAAAAATTGATTGATATAAATGTTTGAATCTTTGGTAATAGAAGCCATAAATATATATTGTTCTTCATTTGTCAGAATGATGAAGCCATTAATATATTGACTAAAGAACAGTCGTTTACTTCTGTATAGTCATCATTACAATTCATCATCATCATCATCATCATCATCATTATTATCATCATCAATAAAATAAGAAAGAGATGATATGAACGACTACAAAGAAGTGGAGGAGTTGAATCTCACCAATTGCTGGTGTTCAGGGTGAGACGAACTGCTCCACTTAGTCGAGTCGAGTACGCAAATAAAGAAAAAAAAATATGATTGTAAATATAATATCATAAAAAAAAACAACATTGTGAGCCTAAAAAAACAACAAATGGGTCTATTCGCACGCGATAAGGTCTGCTCTATTCGATCATTATTATGATCAACCTCAAACTTACGAACGAACGGCTGTTGTTCTCACTCAAGAACGTGAAGAGTAATCAAAAAAAAAAAAGAAGAAGAGAGAACAAGGAAGAGTCGTAACATATATTGCCGCCTTCATTTACCACTTTTTTCTTTTTTTTTCGTTCGTCTGGATGTGCTTTTGTTTTCTCCCTGAACTTTACAGCTGTTGATAATCTGTTCGTGTGTATGTATGCTCGCGTAAAACGTGCTCTGTAGCGAAATTTGACTACATATATAACACGAAGAACGATGAGGGAATTTCGAGTGGAGCGTGCAAGAAACTCAATCTGAGCTCGATTCTTTCTCTCTTTCTTCTCTTGTTCGTTTTTCGATCATCGAAGGAGGGAAAGTAAAGACAAATTGTGCGTATAACATATATATATATATATATACATCGTCAATATAAAATTAGAATTTGATTTACTATTACTCCTCCCTGAACAATGTCATGATAAGAAAAGAGACTGTCTATTACTTGATAGTTTGAAAATAAAAAGAATACGATAAAGGAATAAGAATGATTGTAATTGAAAAAAAAAAGAAAAACCTACTCAATAGAAATGATATAAGGAAAAAAAACAACGAAGTATTAAAAAGCTGATTGAATTTGAATTGTATTTGAGCTCTCGGCTTAGTTAAAGGTCGTCCAATACAATAAAAAATATGAGACTTACAATATATATATATATATATCTATATGTATATAAAGAATAATTGATGATGACTAGTGACTTATTGATATGAGCTGGAAGAATATAGATCTGGCATCAGAAGACATCTATGCGAAATCCATCTTCCAGCTCATATACAATTAAGTGAAATGAAAATTTCTGTTTCTATTTGTATGTAGTATGTTTGACGAACACAAAAATGAATATATATGAAAATTTTCTTGTTGTAAACTGCTCATTTTATATACGAAACAAAAAGAGATGATAAGAGAAGAAAAAAAAAGAGAGAGTCGAATATATTCAGCGGGTATGCGTATTGGTCGAAAAATTCTTCTTCGCGTTTTTTTTTTTGTTAATGCAAACATTGTTATCCGTTTTTCGTTATGTTGACATACGTTTAAAAGACAAAAAAAGAAACTTTGACGACAAATGTCTTATCCAAGAAACGAAAGATAAAAGTAGAAACTCAAGTGTTCCTATGCTTACTAACAGGTATCTTTTATCCCAGGTAGAGAAAAGAGTCCAAAGATAATGATGATAATGATGATGATCATGATGATGATGATGAAATGAAAGTAACCGACATGATCAGTAGATGAATTTGAAGATTTCTTTGGTAAAATCAAACTTTCGATAAAAATATATTGTTATTAAGTCCACTTGTTTTTTAATGATTAACGATTGATATGTATTATCTTTAATGTTTGATGTTTTATAGAAGCGAAAAAATTTCTCACAT